TACCTTAAAAAATCATAATGAAGACCATATTCTTCAACTTTCTTTAACACGTTTGTCATTTTCACAGAGGTTGTAAACCAAATCGAAGCTACCATCTTAAAATAAGAATTTCAAAGTCGATACTACTATCAGTTTCTAAGCATTTTCATAACATGGAAAGTGTGAGGTGTTGTAGTAAGGTAAAAACCACAGGCTAAAAAGTTAATAAATTAAGAACCGGTGAAGCATATTCCAAGCACGTGTCAGAATTATCAAAGTCCCTTATTCAAGCAATAAATTAGACAACATAACTGACAAACATAAGTTCCTAATTATTTAAAGGTAATTATTTCCTTATGAATCCTCAGATTGAAGAATCAAAAAGCACTAAATCCCTGATGTTTTAAATAATTTTCAGAAACATAATTTTAAGTAATTCAAAAGGTAAGCAGACATAGATTCAAAACACTAAACTACTGCTTTCTTTCAACAAAAAATTTCATTACTTATTTCTTTCACTTACTGTGTTGCATAAAGACTGCGCAATGTCTAATTTCGGACAAAGTATGATCAAGAATGAATAAGACTTATTTCATACAGTTAACTTAAGACGGACAATGTTTAGCAGAATAAGAGACACGTCTTCACGTACAATGTTAAGTAGAACAAAGATAAAATGAAAGTATGAAAGTAAAGCCTGACAAACATAAGAATAAAAAACATGAGATAGACATAGTAAACTTGGCATCGAATAAATGATCTATTGGTCTCAAAAGAACAAAAATTATTCTGAACACAACGCGAAAAACCCGACACTTGATATATCCCTAAATAATAAGAACCTTTTTTCAAAAACCTTAGGAAATCAGTGCTGCTGCTGCTGCATTCAAATCCCATCGACAATCTTGCAATGCATCAGTCGCTTGATCACGATTTTTAGCTAAACCCGTTAATAACAGTTCTTCGATTTTAAGCTCATTCACCGCTTTTTCTACGTTATTGTTACATCGCTGCAACTTCAAAGCACACCGTTTCCTACTGCAAAGAAAATAAATTTATTTTATAAAACACAAAGAAAGCATACATACACTATAGTTAAAATTCAATACTCTTACTCTGCAAAAGCAGCATTTTTAAGTACACTGTTGACAGCATCCGAATTTGCCACAAACGAGATCATTCCTGAATTTTGTTCAGTACCACGACTCGCAACTAATGGATCGAACATACTTATAATTTCGTCACTTGACTGAAAAAAAAGCGTTTTTTAATGCTTTCCGAGAGACAATGCTGTCAAATTTTGTTTCCCAGAAACAACAACTGAGAATACACTTCACAAATCCAGAAATAAGGAAGCTTAGCAACTTATTACTCAGATTAAGACTAAATGAATGATAAAATGGTAAATAAAGCAAGCGAAAACTTACAAATGAATTTCTTTGATTTGAGGAATTATTAGCACATCGTGGGCGAAGAGCTAGTCCATTTGCTACTGGCTTGTTTGCTTTCCGTGAGTTGTCTACTAAAATCTTTTAATTAAAGTACAAAGATGGAAGCAAATCAATTTACACATATCAATTAGTAAAAGCTCGTAGAGAAAACTAAAAATAATTTTTTAAATATGGTACTTTCATTTTGGAAGGTACTTTATTAACAAAGGCATTAATATATAAAACAAATTTTAATTATACTAAACACAGATATGCTTCTCAATAACTGAAAATTTTGTTTTTTTAGATTAGAAACAAAGTTAATGAATTATCTTAGTTTTTGAAAAAACAGTAAATATTCATGAGAATGAAACTAACATTGAGCATTATGAAGTATATCAGATATATCATTAACATACGACATCACAGAGGGTTGCTGTGGCAAAGATTGTTTAATTTTACCAGGCTGCCAGTAGTAACAAGTCTAGAAAAAAGAAAGCAAAAATTTTCTTTTTTTTGGAATATGACAATACTGCCAAAAATTTAATTTTACTTGTCCAGCGATTTCATCATTGATGCAAATTAAAAAATTTTTATCTGCGTCGAAAAAATGAAAAGGGTAAGTTGACATTTCTTCAAAATAGTAACAAAATAATTTTTATCGATCTTCAAATATCCTACTCCAATTTCTGATGCATCACCGTTTGCCCTTCCTGCAAAAAGAAAAGACAGATTGTTATTCCATGGTTGACCACTGCTGCAGGATGACAAAGAATACCCATTAGAAACATTTGGTTTTTTTTGGTCGATTTCGTTACTTATGCTACTTGTTATCTAAAATACTTCTTATTATAATTTTCAAAATAGTTGAGATGAATGGCTTCATTAACCGTGAAGAAAAAACAATTAACTAAAAAAATTGTTCAGATCCACAAGATCGTTCCAACTGTAAATTTCGCATATAATGCATATAATGCAAAATTCACAGTTCGAATGATTCACTATAATCTGAAAATTTGTTGACAGAAAAGTAGAAAAATAAATGATTGTGAACGTCGTTTCTGACGTTGCGTCCTTACAGTGTTTGTAAATGTTGCATCCTTGAAAAGTTGACTGTAACGTCCTCTATTGGCAATATCCCTCACAACACTGGAGACCTTAAAAAAACTGACGAAAGAGATAGAAAAAAGGAAGAGAGATGAACTAAGCAGAATAATCAAGAAACACTTCATTGATGAGTGTTTGAAAAAAAAATCTACCTCGAAAGGATCTGAAATATCCTGACTACATGAAGGATTAGATGCAGACACTGTCTGTGGAGCTGAATTGGTACTAATTATCTCCGGTTTAGTGATACTAGGCCTACAGTCTGGCACTTTGGCAAATGTATCATGTCGAGAATTTCGCGTAACTTGCTGAAAGTCAGTTATTTCAAGCAATACTTGAAATCAAGCGACAATAGAGACATTTAAAATATAAATTCCTTCTGCTTAATTTAAAAAATAACCTGAACACAATTGGAAGGATCTAGTCTAAGTGTTGGTGCTTTACCCTTTGATGCCAAACCATTATCAGATGTGATTTGGGTCCTTACCGTTTCTGCAGATGAAGACCAATTAGACTTATACTATACGGTAGCGTTGATAGTAACAGTTCTGATTATTGGAAACAGTGACCACAAAATATCAAAAATAAAGGCTGGGAAGCAGATATTTAGAACAAAAATAATAGATATAGGCCACGAACAAAGATATCATTACTACTTTACCCAAATTATTTTGCACAATACATGCAGACTGAGAATGCTCCCACGACGTTGATGGTAGATGAGAAGCAGATAATGAAAGCTAAAAAAGATTTGTGAAATTAATCTGAAACAAAAAAACAAAAATTAATTTTTGTCGGTATTTACTAGTGCAGCAAACTAGAATGAAAAATATAGACGATTATGCAAACATCGCTGTTATTCAATTTCTAACTAATTTTAGAACATTTAAATTTTTTTATCCAACATCGAAATTATACTAGGATAAAATTTTTAGGATGAATGAGAATTTAAGAGATTGCACTCACCGTAGCAAATAAATCAGATGATGGTTTTAATGTATTATCATCACCAGAGAAAGATGTCCGATGAGAATGACTGAAAAACGTTAGCTAATGAAACTATTAAATAAACACTAAAATATAAAGAGAAGAAAATCACATAATGGTACCACCCTCTTTTATATTTCATAGTTATGCTCATAAAAAACAATGATTAATCCTAACTGAAATGACATATGTCGTTGTCACCTCTATTTAAGTTAATACAACTCCAGATTATGGTGCAAATCATTAAACAAGTATATACTTCGTAAATACGGATAAATATTTTCCAGCACTCTCCAGAATAATCACATTTAATATTAATTCTGAGATACACAATGCATAGTCATCAAAAATTCTTAGAAAATTAATAAATTTAAAAACCTGCGAGATGGAATGTCAGGGACTAATCGCTCTGTTCGTGGCAAAGAAGAAAACTGTTCTAAAAAATATGCATATCAACAAGACAATAAATCTTAATGTAAGCTAAGAATTAATTTTCGTAATACTTATGAAGCATTTTTGATCTAGGCATTTCCAACTCACGTGAAGTTATATTCTGCGTTGTTTCCACACAATGTGCACGGCAAACTTCATTTCCGTGATTAGAGGCAAGTAGAGAAGCACTAAATCTTTTGACGCACGAATCAACTGAAAAAGTTTCAAAAAAAGTAATCAAAATCATTAGCGAAATTCCTAACTGAAAAAGTTGACTATTCCAAAAAATTTTCGATATTTAACTTTGATCAAGTATATTCGCAGATGACTCAAGTTAAATGTCATTTGACCTTAAAACGCTTAACATAGTCAAATTAGCATTTTAACAATTTTGGACCAATATCTGCAGCGATGGAAACTCAAAAGTTAGCATTTATGGTTCTTAAATACTTACTGAAGATTAAAGCAAAACTCAAAAAAAAAAACATCATTAAGCAATAATTTATTAAGATTAGATATAAGTTTAATGTGCATAACATAGCAGCTGATCAAAACATAATACAGATTTAAAAGAACATGAGTAAAAAGTGACCTGATACTGAATCATGCGTTGTACTCAGTGAATGTGAAACTGATAATGGGGGTTCGTCGTAAAACTTGGACAACGAACATGGAGAAGAGGGCTTTCTTATATCTGAAATTCATTTCCATAAATACAAATATGAATATAAATTTAAATATAAACGAATAAGTGGACAAGTAAGCATACAAACAAATAAATACAAAACATATATATATATGTATAAGTACTGTTTGCAGGATATGAATCGCTTTCACTTGCGTCATCGAAGGAATCAACACTGAATGGTGCAAACGGATCAATATTTGAATCAATATCTGAAGAAAACATCTAAATACATATATATATATTTAGATGTTATATATATATGTATATAGTGCAATAAAAAATTTTAAATAAAAAGTAATGATTAAAGAACAAAAATAACCCGATTTCTGAAAGAACATTTTTTTTTCATACCGTTATTTTTGAATCTAAATGAAAAGTCACGGACGAAAAAAAGAAAATTTTACAATCAAGATGACATTACCGTTAACAGTACTTCCCTCATTTTGCTGCCAACGATAGAGCGGTGGCTTTAAATCAGTAAGAGATGGAATTATTTCTGGTACAGAGTGTTGACTACTTCTGAAACAACAATCAGTCATATCTTTGTGAACAAGATGAACAAGTAACTCCATAAACTTTTAGGAGCTTCATGATATAATAAACAGATATAGATCTCTTATTTTAAAAAACTGTTATACATGAAAACGATAGAACTTACTCAATGTATTTATCACTCCTCAAAATAGGATTCTTAAGATATATGTCATCAATGTAATCTGGCTGACCCCAAGATTCTTCTGAATTTATATCACCGTGTCCAGCATGTATAAATGAACCTATAAATTTATTTCCAAAGTTTGATAAATCACAAAAAATATAATTGCAAGGAAGGAAGGCCAGAAATACAAAAGCTAAAATCACACCTGGTACAGGTCTAGAAATTTGAATTTCTGCTTTACTTTCTGGCAGCAAAGGACTTTCCATCTGTTTACAAATTTTTTCTAAATAACGTTCACTTCGTATATGGACTGATGAACGATGAAAAAAGCCAAATTTTGCTGTTCTCATGTTTTGTCCATACCAAACTGAATCGCTATAATAAAACAAACATAAGAACCAATAATTCAAATAACTGTTGACAATGGTTATCCGCTAAATTATAAATGTTTAATTTACAACAAATACATAATAAACAATAATAAGTTATTAAACACCTTCCATGAATGACGATAATGCGATCATCAATCATCAACTCTAAATCAGTTTCTTTTGAAAGAGTTGAAGCTTCACGGACCTCAGCTATCATGAAAATAATCTGTAAGACATCATTCAAAACAATTTTGATGAGTTTTATTGGAAAAAAAAGCAAATGTTTCTAATTCTGAATAATGTTAGCTTTAAACAAAGAACACTATTTCAAAAAAATGTTTTTAACAAATTCTACCAGAAAACTTTAAATATCTTAACCTACACAGCAGATTAATATTCTAAAAGTTTAGTATTTACAAACACTTATCATGAATAAGTAATGTTAGTTGCACATATCATTTTATATTCAGTAAAAGGTTATATTCTGGAATCACCTCTGACAGTATTCCTTTTAAAAGACTAAATGTCGGCCTTGAATTAACATTTAAAGACCAACATCTTGAAATCAAATCATATAACTCTGGCGAACATCTTTGTGGTTTCGGCAATCGCTCACCAGCTTCTAATTTAGAAAGTACCTAATAAGGAATATCGAGCATTAAAGACTACTTTGCAAGAACAAATTAAAATTTTCGATGTTTCCAGAATAAAGCTAAATTAAAATTAAAAAACATCACAGCGAACTCCTTTTTGAAGACGTGCATACTTTTCAAAGAAAGTGGCTCTTAAGCAACAAATAAAGATTCTGAGCTTTAAAGAAACCAGGAATTTTTTTACAGATTTTACAGATTGAAGGACTTTCTTCAGAAGCCTATAAATTCTACAGAATAAAGTCTAAAAAACTCCACATTATTTTCTCTTAATTCACTTTACTTTCAATGCTGGTTTCTGACTTCAACATTTTACTTTTAGTGTAGCTCCACTGTTTAAATTAAGATTGGAAATAGTTTAACACCTCTGCTCCCCGAAGACCAATCCATGGTTCCTCACCATAAGAAAATAGCTCCCATAATGTCACACCAAATGACCAGACATCAGAAGCGTGTGAAAACTGCCGATATCTCAAAGATTCAGGGGGGCACCTAAATATAGCACACTTTAAGACGTATACTAATACATGTGTAAGCAGAAAGGATTTCGGCTCACTTTTATAAGAAAGCATAACATTTTCTAAATGAAATGAACAAAACTTATTTCGGTGAATCTAAGATTGTTTTCCTAAAAGACTGCAAGAATATCAGCAAACATTGTAAATTTTTGAGAACTTTTTCTGAATGTATGGATATTTCAAGACTTCATGAAATAGTAAATATAATCAAGTAAATCAATATAAAACATTCAGTATGAATGCTTAATGATTACAACGATCAAAACTGTAAACATGTGTATGAGAAAAGTTCACCATGCAAACGGGACTTTCTTTTCTGTAGACATAACATACAGCCTTTCATTATTTTCTAATACACGCATCAAACCAAAATCACAAATTTTAGCAACCTGAATAGGAAAATTTTATCATTCACGAATTAACGGATGAAAGTAGGTAATTGAACTGTTTTTTCTTAACATAAAACGTTTTTGAGTGATTTTCAAGTACTTTTAAGTTTAAATCCCGAGCAAAAGTACATTAATTTTTAAGATGGAATGCTTTTTAGGAAAATTAATGAAAATGCTCATTTCTGATACAGAAAAAATCCAAATTGACAGTGCATTATGAACGATTAAGGCTCAGAAGGACCAAAGAAGATAACTGAAGAAAATTTTCTAAGACTGGAATTATTTTCCTTAACCCCGCTAGGTATAATGCTGAGATTTTTTGCTTATCATAAATAACATACTAATATTCCATAAATTTTACCTGATCAGCATTGGTTAGCAAAACATTGCGAGCTGCAAGATCACGATGCACGCAACGCTTAGATTCCAAATAAGCCATTCCCTAAAATCAGTTGAAGTCAATAAAAATTATATATCACAAAGAGAAATTCAATTGGCAGAAAACGGTTTCTAAAATTTATGAATTATTCACCACTGCGTAAAAATTTCGTGCTTTTCACTTTTTAAGTCTCTAATTTCATTACAATTCATTAACCTTCGCAATTTGTTTGGCATATTCAACTAAAATCGAAACCAAAATAACTGGTTTTTCAGTGGATCGTAAGCGATCAATCAACGCGCCCCCGTCACAAAATTCAAGTACCTGAAAAAATTAGCCCTACATTAGAAATAAAATATCATCTGATTTTAAGTTATTACCACGCTACTGTTACTGTTTAATTTTTCAAACCATTCATGGAAACAGTAACTCGACATGAACTCAATTAAAATTATATATCACAAAGAGAAATTCAATTAGCAGAAAACGGTATCAATAAATCAAAATTAAAAATTTACCATCATAGCAGGATTTGTGAAAACAATTCCATACAGTTGGATCAAATTTGGATGCTGCAATTTTTGCATATTTCTAACTTCTCTTTGTAAATCTTCAATTATTTCTGTTGTTGAGTGACGCAAAATTTTTACTGCAACATCCAATTTGTTACCCGTTTGTGGTGTCCAAATGGCACGATTGACAACCGCAAATGATCCTTCACCCAATCGTTCAAATAACTTTATCTTAAAATACTTCACAAAAAATAATCCAGATAAAGCGTGATACTCATGTTATCATTTCATGAAAATTACTAAGAGTTATTTTCGTTATTGGTAGAGAAAGCATTTCTTTAAGAAAGACATAATTTAATGTTCACATTGTTTAAAGTATGGAAATTTCAATGCTTTAAGTCTTACCTCTTCCTTGGTAATCAAACGGGTAGTACCACTTTCCTGAAGAGATCGTAATATGTCAAGTGTACTTGATGCAGGTACAAGAACTTTCGTAACTTCACGATTCTCCTTCTTCCCAATTGTTGGGAAAATCCCTTTTAACTTCCTACTCTTTTTTTTCTTCTCTGCAATTGCAACTCGTAATCGACGGATAGCTGGTTGTGAAAGACCAGTATACGACTGCAATGCACATTTTTAATAAAAAATTATGGGTCTTACAGAAGAAAAAAGAAATAACTCTCTGAGTTACATTTCATGCTAAAACTTACAAATATGCCAAAGCCTGCAAATATTTTGAAGTAAATATTTCAAGCTTATCAAAACAAATTTAAATGTATGACTTTACTTTCAACTCATGATCTGTGATATGATCGAAATGTTCCAAACGTAACAACTGTAGTTCCACACACAGCTTACGTTTAAAGTTCATTAAATCAGTTTCTTTCAATACATCTTGCAGTGCCTCCTCGATATATACACCTTCTTCCATCTGAATGAAATTTAGCTAATAACGGTAACTCATATGTAATATTTACGCAAAACACTGAGTACTGCATACTCTAATCACAGTGAGCAATTAATCTTTCATTTGCAAGTAGAAGTTTGATTCCTCTTAATTTCACATCTATATTCCTGTCATGCAACCACCAAGGTCTGATTTCTCGCTCATAAATTACAGTCCAAAAGCAGGGACCTGTTCGTATAATCAGACTAGTTTTTTTAGATGAATTTTATTGTCCTAATGTGAGGTTGATGATTATAATACTCTGCAAGGTATCTTTAACAATTTAGTTAGTATTTTTGGTACATAAACTACCGTGAAGAATTCTATTAACAATCAAATCAAGCATTTCGCAAGTAAACCATATCTAGTTCCATGAAAAAATCTTTTACTTTCAGTTACCTCGTCAGTAACTGATCCTCAGCTTGCTTTATTTTCCTTTTACTTTTATCGACAATTTTCAGAAATTAAGTTTCCTACCAAGCTTTTCCTGCCTAAAACTAAATACAGCGAACAAATTTCTCATTTTTGGAAATAATCATGTATTTTGACTTTGGAGCACCTTCATTTTGAACTAGATATATAGTAAACTGTTGGCGCACGAACAAGATGGAAATTAAGCTCTAAAATTAAAATTTTAACGGCATTTTCTGGACATTAAGGTATTATAAAGCACATAACTTAATAGACAAAAAAGAGCATAGCTTTCAGCACATAACAGTAGTAATCTATTATGGTAACTGATAGTCATCAAAAGTAATTACGGTCATAAAATAACTGAATTTTAGCAAAGTATTATAGTGTTTCAAAAAACTCTTATCCTGACCACGACTAAGTAATCAGGAGCAATACAGTCCAACCTGCCAGACTATTGCAAAATGGACAAAACCTCGAAGATAATAACAGTAACTTGAGAAATAAGTTCCGGCTGATCGTCTTACAACATGTCTCAAACCGTAAATCGCAGAATACTCCAAATCACACAACCGAAAGCTTGTAACATAGAGGATGAAGCAGTTACGGCGACACAATTTCATGAACATGCTGACAAATGCTACGTTATGATTTAACTCTCAGCGTAGAAAGTAGATCAAGATTGGCTCAGCTCACAGTTAACATAGTTCTTTAACTTCACTCATTCGAAAATGTAAAATGTTGGGTGCATGAGTTTTGAGGATTAGCAATACAAACTTGCAAACATAAGCTTGCGGTCTGAGAAAAAATTTGTAACTTCTAGTAGCCAAAGTGACGGTTTCCTAATTACAGATTTTATTGGAAAATTATCCTATCATTACACTGAGCAGTGATTTATACAACTCGCTCAGTAAGCCTTACCAGCAAGGAATGCTAGGGTACAGATATGCGGTACAAGGAAATTGATAAACTGTTTACACGTTCATCTTTCCTTATCACTATCAAGCAAAATTTTTCAGCAGTGTCTTGATAAAATTGCAAGTCTGGAGTAGTTTTCATTTCCATTATACTTTAGAAAACAAAACAGAACCGCGTACTTGTGGCTTAATTACTGCTGCAGTCTTACGAGCAAAATGATTTCAAACCGATTGTCTTATCGTTTAATTATCTTAGAAATACGCAAAATTTTTAAGATAATTAAACTACGCAAAATCCTCATTACAATTTTGTTTTCTGAATGAATAACAAATATTCCCATCACACGTAACCAATTTCCAATCAAAATCACGTTGCATTGTGGGAACACGTAAAATAAATCGACCAGCTGTAATCGATTGACTTGAAATTGATCAAAAAACTAGACTGGAAGTCAACTGATAATGAACAAAATGAATAATTGATGGTGCTAATTGATTAGACAGTTATAGTATATGTCAAACTTTACTACATTAATTATAACTAATTTCCGTACACACTGGAAGTCAACTGATATTGAACAAAATGAATAACTGATGGTGCTAAATGACTGAGCAAAGAGATCGTTGAGCAAAAAAGTGAAGAATCCAAGTGTGGAAAACTGCATGAAAGTCGACATTCCTCATTTGTCAACGAAGTCAGAGATGGCAATCATATGATAGTATTAGGGATGCAAATTTGTCGGAAATGGTTTTTCTATTCATCTTAAGTTAGCGTAAGAACAACCACTCCTTTTTTTCAGAATCTAACGCACCAAAATTCTTCCATTTTTGCAATGTAATGGAGAATTCTGGGAAGGAAGTTACCATATGGACGTGTTAACAAATACTTTTAGGGTAATAATTTAGTCTCCTGTGATGGTTACAGTTAAGAAACGAGATGAAGTCATGTTCTCAAATTCATTTTCGCAAGTTCTTAAACATTTGACCGTGTCCAGGAATGATCCAGTCAGCCACTTGCAAAATCGCTTCTCTACTCCTCTCTTGATCCTGTGGATATTTGCTATTCTTCCTCCAAGTCTTAACATCATCTTTTTCTTCAAAAATATCTCCTGAAAACTGTGTATGCAAACAATGTCTTTTTTAAAGGGATGATTATGCATTTATGAAAATAGCTCACAAACCTACGACAGCGATCGTACCAAATTCGGTATTTGTAACAATCACACTACGATCATGATCCGTATGCCCAGGAGTCAGCCTTATTTCCACACAATTATCCAGCATCCTAGGATCCTGGAAATTCAGTCTTTTTTTAAATTTTTGATGTCATCACCAATGATTTATCTAGCTCTTATAAATTTCTACAAGTTTATAATGCTCTTAAAACTAGCTATCACCACAAATATTACTGTATTCAAGTTTTTCCATTCAAGTTATACATTTTAGGTTCACATTGTGGTTACCACATTGTACTTTAATAAACTTAAAGTTAATACTTTTAACTTTTACATCACCACAAAAATGTCTTAACTTCATTATAATGTTTAAATCACATGAATGAAACAATAATGTCTAATTAATCGCGAAGAAAGTGCTCATTTCTCCTGTTTATGTATCGCAATCTTAACAGATCGACGACACATAACGGCTTTTCGTGTATATGTATTATTTATTTTTTTGGAACAAGTATTCAAAAACAAAAAAATTTAATAGACGAAACAGTACCGTGTAAGTGTAGTACCATCCGTCTCTAGCATTATCATCAGCCATGTATATGGTAGCTTGTTGGAAAAGTGACATATTGCCGCAATGGTCACTGTGCCCATGAGTTATTATCAAATCCGTGATATCGTTACAACTTAGCGAATACTTCGAAAGGGCTAGAAAAAAGTCATTTGCCTCTGTAGGAGAAAACACACATAATCCTAAGTTATCAAATAATACCCATCCCGTGTGAAATCTTTATTGAAACAGTCACACTGATACCAAATAGTAGAACAGCTTAATTAAGATTGTAAAAAATAAATGATTTATCTGTAATAATAATTGATGATAATAACTCACAAAAAATTCTAAAATGATTGTGTCGGGATATAATTAATAATCGCAATGGTAATTACAGTCAGTGATTTTTTTTTAAAGAAGGCTTGTTGAAATGTAATTACTGGGTGCTCCAATTGCTATAAAACTTTTTCGACAGGATTCGGCAAGGACTAAAGAGATAATAAAAATAACTAACCTTCAACAATGCATGCCCCATTCCAGGGGTCACCACAGTCCACAAGAATTTTTCTTTCTCGTGTTACAATCAAAGTCACTGTACCGGAGGCTTCCTCATACCCATCACTGCATTCAGCATCTGCACGTCTACAGTAACCCTCAAGTAATACGAACACTCTCGGATATTCGTCCATATATTTAAACCTGAAAGTTTGGTGATTTTTTTAAAATTCCAATCCTATGAGTCAGTGTTTTTCATCGTGAGCTATCCAAGGAAAGCATTACGGGTGTTGAACACTCAAGACCACAACTGCTTTATGATGTGGATTTGGTTTGTGTGGTTGATCTTTGTGAACTGAGTATAGATGTTTGGTTTCATACATTTGTTTGCTAAATTGTACATAATTATGGCGTTTTTTCAACTCTTCTTTAGAGAAATGAATTTATAAATATATAACATTTTGAGAGTTTATGTTAACGCGTAAAGTTCGATTGTGGCATTGGCATAATGTTGTGGAAAAAGCTAGCTATATCACCCAGAGTTTGGAAAGTAAATTAACAGCTTGCACTTCAGCAGTGACTTCGAATAAGCAGCAGCACTCCAAAGATGTGATGAGTGATGAGGAAAGAAAACAAGTTTGTTTATTTTAATGTGTTTTAGCAGGCTGCTTATTTAGTCTTAAAATAATGCTAGTTTGTGCTAAGCATCTTCTTCTTGTAGTAATTTCTGGTTTATCCATTTTGTAGTTGTATTTCCGTATTAAATATTTTCGGTACAAAATGTAGACATAGTTTGAATCAAGATATGTAAAAGGGTGAGCCTAATAAAGTATATCTAAGGTGAAGAGATAAAGTATTGTGATTTGGCTGTCCAAGATTTAAAAACTAAATAAGTCATCGGGGCAGAGGTTTCTTACTTTTGAAATCTTTTCATTATTATTTCATTAATTCATGTGTAAATTAACCGACGTTATTCTCAGTAATGTACGCACTAAGTTAGTTGAAAGGTTTTTGGGGTCTTGTTTGCTTTAAAACAAAGCAGTTGATGCTGAATCATTATGCAGTATCATTTTTATCTGCATAATCCTTCTTTCGGATCAGTTTAAAAATATAGTTACAGATATCCTTTAGTTCAAGCGTACAATGCAAGTTAAAAAACGGTTTCGATTTTGGCCCGAAATGAAGGCAAAAAAATTTATAAAGTTACGGATTTTATGTTTTAGGATCGCAAGCGTTTTGCGGAACTTTTTCGACATTCAAAATTTGTACAGCTTGGAAACTTTGACGGACGAATCGTCATTGGTGAGATCGTCCGCCGAATGGAAGATGACTTATATATCGATATTGGACTAAAGTTCAATGCTGTATGTAGAGCTCCTTCAGTGAAAAATGAGTAAGCTTCAAATTTCAGATTCTGTTACTCGTTAAATTACTGGTGTTTTTCGTGCGAGATTCAAATATCATGAAATCGAAAATTGATAAAGAATTCTGCAATTAATATTATTTCATTGATTCGCCCATTTCTCATGTTACCAGTTTGCTCCAGTTGTACTTTAAACTTTGGACGTTATGTCTTTGGGGTTCATTGTTGATTTGATTCATGAATAGCTCTGAATCGAAATTTAAGTCTGAAGATTTAAGCACAGTATCTTAAGTTATTTTTTTTTAGCAATTTGAATTAAATAAAAAGCTGAGCAAAGCAGCTAAAATGGTAAAATTTTCTCTAATCTATTACGCCTTATTAAATTATAACGGTATATCTTTAATCTTAGTTTTCTTTTTCACGCAGTCTACTTTTTTGTTTTTTTATAAGGTTGCTACCTCTGAGTGCTGAACTGATTCTGTTTTAGCAGTTATACAATTGGAGCAAAAGTTCTTCTTCGATTGCATAACCCCGAACTTTCGGAGCTTTTTCTGGGTTCTACGAAAGAGCTGACATTGTTAGAAGCAGATGCAACTCTTCTTGGATTGTATCATCCTAATTCAGCTGACACAAGAATGATATATTCTTTAAAGAAAATAGAGAAAGAAGGTTTGTTCAGCATTTGTAACTTGCATCTGTGAAGATACTTTTTTTCAATGGTCAGCTAAAGATTGATTTTAATGTTTCATTCACATTTCAGCAGGTTTTTATGTCTCTCAAAAAAATAACGGCACACAAAATTAACATATGTGAGATTGAAAGTTCTGTACGGTACATTAGTTTCAAAATTTTCAAATCAAAATGTAGTCAGTGCTAAGATTGCAGTTTGCAAGATTGATTTAATGATCTCTCATGCAAATTATTAGTGTCAAATGAAATTTAAAACATTTTACTTTTTTTCAGTTGAGAAGATCAAAGCCTGAACTTCAAAGATTAAAGATGAATCACAAGCAAACAAATCGGGATTGTTCTTAGTCATAAAATGAAAATTACTACAAATAAGAAAATTGAAATTTGGCTTTATTTTCGATGTCATAAAATTGGCAGCTCTGGTTTAAATCAATTAGCCGCTTAATTTTTCTAGAGTAAACAAAGTCTGAAACACCAAGCGTAATGAGTTGAAGATAAATTGTAATTTATTTTGCTTGTTCTTTTCGATGCTAACAAAATGGAGCATCTGAATTTGTGCAATGTATTGTAAATCATTTCTAGAAATTAGGTAAGTGTCTTATAATGAAAAGAATGTGTAAGTTAATTTTATCATTTCATTCGCTTTTTTCATGGCTTTAGGAAAAAAATGGTAAGGTTTAATTGTTGCCTTTTGTGCTTGGTTGCTTGATTTTACAGTTTGTGGAATGATCGCAGTGAACACAAGCACATTAGTTAACAATGCACAGATTGTGTGTGTGTCTGTGTTGTAGGCTCGATGTTTGTTTTTTGCACTCGAGTGTGCTGTTGTCTCTATCAGCTTGGTTAGAATTTTGTTATTTAATGCTAACAATGATAAAACGATTGGAAATAAATCGTTGGTGTTACATTATATTCTAGCATTACTCTTAAAACTAAATGTTACCTGTTGTTGGGACGCCAGTTTTTGTGCGATGTATCGCAATGTTCATGTTTGTGCATCTTGGTCTAACTGGTCTCAAGCTTTATTAAGACTGATTCTCTTACAGTTATATTTACAATTAATTAAATCGTAATTAGAGTAATAGGAGTTTTCGTTAAAGAATATGCTGACAACTAGCGTAGAACCCATCATGTGGATTACTGTTTCACTTTTTTATATGTTCGCAGACTTAATAATCTAGTTCTTTTGTTTTAATAGCTGGACTTGACAATGAAATGACTAATATATGTAGTTTTTTGTTTACGAAAATTATAAAAGGCTATTTTGGCAAGTTGGGAGCTATCCAGTTAAACCATTTATTGATATTTTGAATACAGTTATCAAACTTGTAAAAGTTCTTGACCACTGTCCTTATGCTATTCTTGTAGTCGATTATTTTGATGTTCCAGATTGTGAAGTTAGGGTATAATGTTACAGTTTTAAAGCTTCAAGCATTTTCATATAGAACTGTACAGATAAAGTTTAGAAATTTTTCACCGAAGAGCAACCAACTTCGGAAGTGATCATCTTCTGTTGTTTTTTACTGCTGACATACAAGGCATAAAATCTCATATAAAGTAGTGAGTTCTCATCTGTTGTATCGTTTACTGCTATGCTAATGTAATAGTGTTTCGAAATTGGTTGATCAAGAATGAAAGTTTGTGATAATTATTTACTGAAGTACAGACCTTTCATTATATAGTTGCGGATTATTTTTTCGACATTTATATGCACCTGTTCCTGATATTGATATTCGCAGAAAGTAATCAGCGTGTCGAATTAACGAAATGTGCAGGCATTTGAATACTATCTGTTGCAGAGTTCAATGAAGACTTCCAAAATACCAGTCGATTCTCCTGATGATAAGGTTGATTTATCAGGTGCAAATTCTCAACGGCCACATATGTTAGGATCACGAGATGATACCATCGTGTCAACTGCTGGTCGAGAAGGTACTGCCATTGCACCACAACTTTATAAAGGTCGATCCATGGCTGTGTTCACCAGTGGTGGTGATGCTTCCGGTAATTCCATTTATTTTGAAGTACAGAAAAAAAAATTGCAGGTAGAAAAAAATTAATTTATAGCATAAATTAAATTAGTCAAGTGCTTGACGTTTAATTTTCTATCTTTGGAGCCATTACCTTTTCAAAGTTCAGAAGTATTTTCGAGTTTTTTTCCGACCAGAAAATTTCATCCAATTTGAAGGGATGAACAGTGCTGTACGTTCGGTTGCACGAATGGGTATATACTTGGGATGCCGGGTTTTTCTAATTTATGAGGGTTATCAAGGAATGGTTGATGGTGGTGATCATATTAAAGAAGCAGATTGGCAGTCGGTATCGGATATTATTCAACGTGGAGGTATTTTTGCCAGTGACATAAAAATGTAGAAATTGAATTACCCATATAGCTTTTATAGGTTTAATGATGATCATAAATTTCATATTTTTTAACACTATAAGTTTCTTTTTAGTAACACTTTGTATTGTTAACTTTAAGTTTCTTCAAGAAAGTAATTATGGTCTTTCACACAGCAGTTTTGTTTTCGGTACCGTAATTGGATCAGCACGTTGCAAAGATTTTCGAGAACGTTGGGGGCGCTTGAAAGCTGCGGAAAATCTTATCAAACACCGTATCACTAATCTCGTATGTATTGGAGGTGATTCATTTATTTTTGATTTTCAAGTTTCATGTCATTGTTTTATAAAAAGGCAGTTTCAAATTAAATTAGTTAGTGCTACGCGGATATTATCATTTAACTTTCTCCTAACCACTTCTTAGTGTATCCCTGTGAAATCCTCAACTAACAAACAGTAAGCATGTTGAAAATTTGCTAGATTAAAAATATTTTGGCATATTTTTAATTTTTTTAGTGGTGCAACTCTTCAAAACATGTGTAAATTTTGTATTTTGACTGAAGGATTGGTTAACTTGTGAGGCAAGCAAAAAAAATACAAAAGAGTTTTTTCACTATCATATTTAAACTTCTTATCATGCTTGTTTTTATTATATTATGGAGTCTTCAGTACATGCAGTAGTGAAAAATAAAGGTCTATTGACCGAACTTTTCTTAGATTTGCAAACTTGGAATTTGAAAATGTTTTCGACATCATTCCTTGTTTACTTTGATGGCTTCATAGCCAGATTCTTTTCTAGGCGATGGTTCTTTAACTGGTGCTAACCTTTTCCGACAAGAATGGCCTGAATTGCTCAAAGAACTTTTGTCTACTAACAGAATTACCACAGAGGAAGCTGAAGAATGCAGTAATATTCAAGTAAGTAAATGAATAAAATAAATAAATAGAAGTTATAAAATTTCTATATATATAATATATATATATAAACTACATTTATTTTCTCTTTAATCTAAAAGTACTTTTGTGATACAGAAATTTTTATAACTTTCGGAATAGTTTTAAAAGTTAACGCTCAGCGTTTCTACTACGCTCGAATCTCTCTTGAGTAAATGGAATTAAAATATATTGAGTATTATGTTTGAGATTGTTGGGCTTGTTGGTTCCATTGATAATGATTTTTGTGGAACGGATATGACTATCGGTACTGACACAGCGTTACAAAGAATTTGTGAGGCGATTGACTGTGTAATGTCAACGGCTCAAAGCCATCAACGCACATTTGTTATTGAGGTGCCTTTTTTATATTCAAAAAGAATGAATGGATAAATTTTTTTACACGCCTTACTACCAGTATTAGATCTGGAAGTTTACCACTCCAAATTCTTGTGTCCGAAAATAGAAAAGTTACAATTATTACAGCTTTCAGTATTTTTAGTGTTTTCAGTGTTTTGTAACTTCATATGAATGGTAACTGCTGTAAACTTGTTAAAATAATAAAGGTTATGGGCCGACATTGTGGTTATTTGGCATTAGTTGCTGCTTTAGCCTCCGAAGCAGATTTTTGTTTCATACCGGAGTGGCCAGTACCAATAGATTGGCCTGCGGTATTATGCGATAAGTTACGAATGATGCGTGAAGCTGGTTCGCGTCTAAACATTATTATTGTCGCTGAAGGGGCTGTGGATAGAGAAGGGAAACCGATCAGTGCTGATTCGGTATATTTCTGGTCAATTTTTTTAAACTTTTTTTTTGTGCAAAGGAAATATATCAAGCAACAGGATTCTAAATGTAAACATTTAGGTTCGTCTAGTAGTAAAAAAAACATTGCATTATGATACCCGTGTAACTGTGCTGGGACATGTGCAACGAGGTGGCAGTCCATCAGCATTTGACCGTTTACTTGGATGTCGTATGGGTGCTGAAGCAGTGCTGGCTCTAATGGAAATGACACCACAGTCAGAGCCTTGTGTGGTTTCAATTGATGGTAATGTTATAGTACGAGTTCCACTGATGCAATGTGTCTTACGTACACAAGCGGTAATGATATTACTTTAGTTTTAGGGTATAGTAAAAATATTTTTTTGCTCGCAGCAATCTCATTCTCAAAATGTTGTGCTGCTTAAGGTTTTATTGTATTGTGTTTTTTGTAGTTTGAATTTTCTAAATAATAGGTGAAAAAAGCAATGGAAGAGCATGACTGGGACATGGCTGTGAAATTAAGAGGTCGAAGTTTTCATCGAAATCTTGAAACTTATCGTTTGCTTACAAAGGTTGAACCAAAAGCGAAGTTCATTAATCAAGGGGAGCCGATTTTTAACGTTGCTGTGATAAATGTTGGGGCACCTGCCGGTGGTTAGTGATTGACATTTTTTGTATTCATGTAATCCAAGTAATTGAATCATATTTTGTTAAAAACATTGCTTTAGTGTACACGCTTTACTGTCATAACGCAAAGATTTGAAACAGAGCAAACCATGAAGGTAACTTGAATTAGAGGCATCTTCTTGTATCTCTTGCTTTTTTTTCTAAACATGAAGAAACGGGGAGTAATTTTCAACTTGAAGATTTTTTTTCCGAGAAATTTCTGAAAATTTTAATTTGGCTTCGTATAGGAATGATTCATTTTATTGAAGGTGATATTCGAAAATGATGCTGTATCGCTATGGCTATTTTGTAATCACGTGGCGATGCATAATTGACATGCACGTTGTTCCTTTTATTGATCATAGCTATTTGTAAAATTATTGTAATTTTGTGAAAGATTTTTAGGAATGAATGCGGTGGTGCGTTCATATGTCCGTATGGCATTGTATCATCGCTGCAAAGTTTTTGGCATAAAAAATTCTTTCGAAGGGCTGTGCAGAGGAGAAGTTCAGGTGATCACAGAGGCTGTTCTTTTTGAGAAGTTTAAACTTTACTGGTTTATTGACTTGTCTCTATGCAAATAAAATAGTAATTTCCTTAAAAAATCATTTAAGGAAATGGCGTGGGGCGATGTGAACAATTGGGTAATGTTTGGTGGCTCATTTCTTGGAACACAAAAGCAATTACCTGAAAAGAACATGGAAGAAGTAGCTGCTGCATTTGCAAAATACAACCTTCATGCATTATTACTTGTTGGTGGATTTGAGGTAAAAATCATTAATCAAAATTTGCTACGGTATTTATTACTGAAATTCTCTAACTTATATTTTATATGTTGAGTTATTTGTACCTTTCTTGGTTTTACCTTTATCACTGATAGTACCTTAAAATTAACTTTTTTATTTATACAGTCCGTTACTCATAGAATTATCGTTACGACGAAATTATTATGATACTTGTGCTTGCTATCTTCTCTTTACTATGCGTATTTTTCTTTTCCATCTTGATTTAGCAGTATTTCATTTTCCAAATTTGGATTTAAAATGGAGTTTTTAAATTTCAGGCATTTCATTCTTGCTTACTTCTTTCACGTAACCGTGACAAATATCCATCGTTGCGTGTTCCTATGTGTATTATTCCATGCACAATCAGCAATAATGTTCCGGGAACATCGCTTTCACTTGGTTCTGATACTGCAGTCAATGAAATATGTGGAATGATTGATAAGATCAAACAGTCAGCTACTGGTACTAAGAAACGAGTATTTATCATCGAAACCATGGGTGGCTTCTGTGGATACTTAGCAACTGTAGCAGCTTTGGCATCTGGGGCTGACAGTGCTTATATTTTTGAAGAAAAATTTGATGTTCACGATATTCTGGATGACGTGAAGGTAACCTTTCTCTCAATTTTGGTTCACTTTTATAAATGATACTTCTAAAAGATTTCGAACACTTAACAAATTTGCAGATCTAGAAATCTTTTTGTGTTTTAAATATGTTTCGCTCGTTAATAACTAATCGATTACATTTCCTCAGAAAAACATTAATGAGTGATTTATTGGAAAACTGGTTTTGTAGACAGGAAAATATAGAAACTAGGAGTAGTTTATCCAGTTTTAATGTTAAAAATATATCGGTGACTAAAATTTTCTAATCATTTTTGAAGATCAGGGAGATAAGTATGTCACAGAAATTTGATAGCTTGAAATAATTGGAACAAGTTATGTGAGAAATTTTTCTTCTACTGATCATATACATATTTTACATATGCAACAGAGCTTAACAATATTGTTTTCTAATTCTAGGTGATAAGTCATAAAATGCGTACTGGTGTGCAGCGTTATTTGATCGTTCGTAATGAATGCGCTAATAAAAATTTCACGACTCAATTTGTCAATCAGTTATTTGCTGAAGAAGGCAAAGGAGCGTTTTCAACAAGGTTCTTTGAAATTATTTATGTTTCGTTTAAATTAATCTCTTTTTTGTATTGGCACGGATTCTAATCTTATTTTTCACTATGCCATTTTTAATTTTCAGGACAAATGTGCTTGGACATGCACAACAAGGTGGAAACCCCACGCCGTTTGACCGTAACATGGGTACAAAACTGGCGGCCCGTGCATTAGAGTTCTTAATATCACAAGCAAAAGAATATGTCAATCCGGTTACCAACTCTCTGAACGCTGTTTCTCCTGACAGCGCTACATTGCTTGGTTTAAGAGTTGGTTTCCGAGTATTATAAATTTAATGCGAAAAGTACTTTTCTATTTAACAGTAGAATTATGCTTGAACTATGATATTTAGAGTGAGCTCGGTTTTTTTGCTCATTTAGGAGGTATTCACTTACAATCAAAACTTAGATCCGAAATATTATTTTCAGGGCCGTCGAGTTGTATTCACACCTGTGGAAGAGCTTTTCTTGGAAACTGATTTCGAACATCGTGTTCCAAAGCAACAGTGGTGGATGAAAATGCGACCCCTGCTTAGAATATTGGCTAAACATGACTCTGCGTATCAACCGGAAGCAATGCTGGTACCGGAGATATCTGGTGAAAGCAATTAAAAGAGACGTCTAGCCTAATGATAAATTTGAGCGAAAAATAAGTAATTTAAGGAATTCAATGATTAAATGAAAGGAAATTGCTCGAAGTCGAATTTGTAGTAAGATTTGAAATATAGACACAAATTTTGCATAAGTGCAAGGATTGGCACTAATAATACATTTCTTTTTGATATAGTAGTATTTAATGAGAAGCGTTTGACAATTTCAAGATTACATTTTTTTTAATGGTTGAAATAATTTACTTTCATTGCTTAATGAAGAAACAAATAAGTAGTGTTATTAGTTGAATTTTTATCATTACAGTTATAGTTTTCGTCAGTTAGACATGGCATTTGAGCTTTTTTTCTTTTTTTTTTAATTTATAATATTTGTATCTATTTATAATAATTTTATATGCATAGTTAAACTTGAAAAGTTTGTGATGAGAATGGCTGGCGATGAATACAAGGTTTATTGAATATTTGTATGAATGATTAATTTTTACTGCATAATGCGTATAATGTTATTTTATATTTTTATGGATGTAGAATAAAGATGATATACATTGACAGAGTAAGATTAATTTTAGAGGTTAATCTGCTTTTCTGCATTATATTCATATATGTTGAATTTTGTTCACAGGCGAAATTCGTATGTCTAATTTTTAATCATAAGTGGACGTTATACGCAAGCTATTTTTCATTTTAATGAAGTAGATATAGATTAAAATAAATTTCTTACTCCAGTCTGTTATTATTTGCAGAAACTATGAAATTTCTCTCTGTTATTGCTTGATTTTCATGTTAAATTAATGTTGTAATTGTTTTCTGCGTTTCAGTGAAATTTGCCTATTGTTTCATATCATTTGTTTAACGTATTACTTCATGTGTCTTAGGTTCATTTTATCTTACTCTGCGATGTTAATCTATTTACTTCTGATATGCTAGTTGAATTTTCAGTCTCTTTAAGCAAGTCATATCTCATCATAAGTTTTCCCATATTTAATTTCATTTTAGTTTATTTCGTGCAACATTCACTAGACTTAAGTTGTACGTTATCGCTTCTTAATAAGGTTCAATAACAAGTGCGTTTTCTGTTCCTTGTCTTCAGAAAGGAATAAAGAGCATCTAGCTTTGATTTCTGATCAGCATGAAGTTAAAATGTCTGCTGCATTGCACTGACTTAAGCCATATTTGAAAATATATCCACCATAAGGTCAGTTATTATGTGCATTTAATGAAGCACTGCAGTTATGTGAGACAATGCATAATGTCTTTGTTTATTTTTTAGCATTATTAATGTTTCGCTGATAAGATTGATTGTAAGAGTGAGGCTAATTGGAAGATTGACGTCTAATCTGACTGTTAATCAGCTAAAGGTAAGTTAAGTGCCTATAACCTTGCCTGTTACAGCTAGAAAAATTAATACCATTTTTAATCACTTCAATAATAAGGCCTTTGTTAAGAGAGCTAAATTGCGAATTTATTATTAATATTACGCCGATAAAAGATATTTTCATTTCTGCTATATGCAAAGTCAGGTTCTGGTTTGATCTATATCTTCGTAGCTTCGTCTTTACGAACGAGTAGAAGGGGTGAGTTATTCAGATGGGGAGAAATTAATGTACGAGTAAACAAAATATGACATTCACCTAAATTTTGTCAGTTGTATGATGTGTTTAGTGACGCTTACACAACTCACAGCTTTACCATAAATTCATTAATATGAGCGTCAGAAAGTGTGCTTACACAACTTATACAGTCATGAACTCAAAGGATTTCATATTACGATGTGAACACATACTGCTCACATTGGGTAGAGAGTTTAACGGAGGCTGTATCCTGATGTTTGCTATTGTTGACTGGGAACTTTCATAAGGAATAGAATTAAGCGGTAGTTTCACCGCAGAAGAGCGCGTGGTTTTAGTTGACCAAAGATCGGTCGAGATTTTTACGTCTGTGTTGTGATGTCTGGCAGTCTGCGATGTTAACGAATTTGTTTTTAGTTTCACTTGAGAGTTGTTGAGTGCTGCCTGCACTTGTACATATCCAGATTTCTGTGAGCTTTACTTCAGTGTATTATTTTTTCGTGTATTAGCTTGTTTCTTGCGTTCACGTTGGATTTCACATTTCTTAAATGACTGATGTTATTGCTATCAAGTTTTGCGAGTGCAACTTGCATACCGATTTCTGCAACTCATTTTTGTCTTAATTAGAAATGTAGGGAGAGCTTAACTTTTATTGATCGATGATGATAGGATCATTAAAGGATCTGTTTCCAGTCATAAGTTGATGTCTTCTGAGGATTTCTTGATGCAGCACATTTGGCCATATTCATACTTGTTGGTTGGTTAAGAGTCATTAATGCACGTAATTTTTAGTGCTCTTTTCACTAGTTTCAGCTTCAATTAGTAAAGGGAATGACGCTAAATAAATTATCGATCGATAAGGTTGATTTAAAAGATAAAAGAGTTTTAATTCGAGTCGATTTCAATGTCCCTCTCAAAGATGGCAAAATCACGAACAATCAGCGAATCACAGCAGCGCTGCCAACTATCAAGGTACGCTTCATCAACTTCCTGTGCCAGAATATCATTGCTATTTACACGCATATGTATGCTGCTTTTACATTTTTGTTTCCACAAGAGCAAACTATTAGACAAGCTTTTTAGCTTGTCTAGTAGTTTTTATGTTGATGTTATATGTAAATGTGGTAGATGCATCCGTCTTATTGTACTCAAAATTCAGTGATCCGTTCATGGACAAGTTTGATGTCCGAAAACTTTATCTTCCATAATATAATCCACTTTTAGTATGCATTGGATCATGGCGCTAAGGCTGTTGTGCTTATGTCACATTTGGGACGCCCAGATGGAATGAAAAATAAAGCATTTACATTAGAGCCTGTTGCAGATGAACTCAAGCATGTTCTTGCAAAGTAAGCAAAAATTTATTGTCTGATTCTACGCTGTTGCTGACCTTCGTGTATTTTTGACTTTAATAAGCATATCTCAGATTCTTTTTTCACGAAGATGAAAGTGTTGAAAGAAGGACTTAAAAACTTACAGAGATGTAACATTTCTGCATGACTGTATCGGACCAGATGTTGAAAAAGTAACTGCTGATCCAGCTCCAGGAAGTATTATTTTGCTTGAAAATCTTCGATTCTACCTAGAAGAAGAAGGAAAGGGTGTCAATGAAAAAGGGGAGAAGGTTATGTATAGTTTTCCAGTTTCATGATTCGATAAATATCTTTATTATGATTGGCGTTTTCGACTTTTATTGAACATGATTATAAATGTATAGTAATAATTACACAAAATGATGGAAATGACACCATATCCTTTCCTTGGTATTTTAATATTTCTCTTACAATTCCAAATAATGGTTTTAAAAAAACTACACAATATAACATTTTCTGATTACATTTTGCAACAATTGTATTCAAATGTTAGTGATTTACAAGCATTGATTTTCAAGATATGCTTTGACCCGAAAAGAAATATTTATTAAACTAATGTTTAACTAGTTGAGTTTTCATGAAATAGATGTGTAATTTGACACAATTTCAGGTGAAGGCATCCCAGGAAGATGTTGACAAATTTCGTGCATCTTTAACAAAGCATGGTGATGTTTATGTGAATGATGCCTTTGGTACTGCACATCGTGCGCACAGGTGTGTTTTGTTCTAAAAGCTAAAGCATATCTACACATCACTATATATTTCCTATATTTATTATCATTATTCGTACTAACTATAGATATTTATAAATTCTTGTTAGAATCATTCATGTTATTAATTTTGTGTTAATAGTTCTATGGTTGGTGTCAAATTGGATAAGCGTGCTAGTGGTTTTTTGATGAAGAAAGAATTGGACTATTTTGCTAAAGCTCTGGATAATCCAGTTCCACCATTTCTTGCAATTCTAGGTGGTGCAAAAGTAGCAGACAAGATTTTACTTATTCGTAATCTTTTAGATAAGGTAACATACTTCATTAAGAACAGCAAACTATTGTAATAGGGCAGAAGAACATTCAACTGTTTTTTGTACTGCCGTTTGCTTGGTTTATTCAACAAAAAAAAAGATTATTATTATTATTATTACTATTATTATTATTACTGTTTACACAGTACATATTTTAGGAGAAGATATAAATTTGGTCGAAAAGAATTCATATGGCTTAAATTAGTTTTTTTTTTGTTGTATTTTTTAGGATTGCTCATCCACTTTGATTATCAAAATTGAAACAGAGTAGTTTGTTCAGGTTAATGAGATGATTATTGGTGGTGGTATGGCATATACTTTTCTAAAAGTTCTCCACAATATCAACATTGGAAATTCATTATATGACACGGAAGTAAGCAGCTACTTCATCTGCTTGATTTTTTTGCCGTTTTTTTCCATTACTCAGCTGATGTTCCTTTTAGATTTGATCGTTGAAGCATAAGCTCTTCAACAGCCAAATGCGTTGAGAATTTATGTATATGATAGCCAAGGTTTTTGTACTAATAACAAATGATTACCGCATAAAGTGATAATAAATGACTACCAAATAACAACTTTGTCAATTATCAAATTATGTTGGAATCATTTGTTAAATGCAAGGTTTTTTTCTGTTAGAATTTTCAAAATTTAAAAATCAGTCTATTCACTTACGTTGTTTGCAGGGTGCAAAAATAGTAAATGAACTAATGGATAAAGCTAAAGCAAAGAACGTAAAAATTCACCTACCAGTCGATTTCATAATTGCAGATGATTTCAAACAAGTAACGTTGTTGTATATGAAAGCTAAAATTTTGTTTGTTATGTGTTTGTAGTAAGCGTTTTACAAAGGTATTGTCTTTGCAGGATGCTCATTTCAAAACCGCGGATCTTAAGTCTGGTATTCCCGATGGTTGGATGGGTCTAGATATTGGACCAGAAACGGCTAAGCAATTTGCGGAAGTTGTGGCACAATCGAAAACAATTGTTTGGAATGGTCCAGCCGGTGTTTTTGAGTGGGATAATTTCTCTAAAGGCACAGAAGCTGTAATGAATGCTGTTGTTGATGCTACAGCCAAAGGAGCTGTTACTATCATTGGTACTGTTCCACTCATTTATGCAAACAGTTCACTAATCATAAATTTTAACTTTTTGGGTTGAATATTAATTCTTATGGTAATTGACAGGAGGAGGGGATACAGCGACATGCTGCAAAAAATGGAAGACTGGTGATAAAGTGAGTCACGTCAGCACTGGTGGTGGTGCTAGTCTTGAGTTGCTTGAAGGTAAATTATTTATGTTCAATTTTTTTTTCGACGACAGGGTCGCTTTTCACACAATTCTGCATACAAAATACTGAGCAATGAAGGGTGTAAAATCAACTCTATTTTTATCATTTTTATTTGTGATCAGTTAGTAACTAGCAGATGGCGACAAAATTTCTCGTGCTGAAGTGTTTCACTGAATATGTATCACTTTTTCATAGGTTTTTACTATTGTGTTACCTATGATTTATTTTAGGAAAAATCTTACCAGGTGTTGAAGCACTTTCGCCGGCATGAGCAAGATATGTGATTAAGTGATGTCATAGATTTTTTGATCACTTGATAACAATACTGCATTAGTATTTTATTATACGATAAATATTTATTTGCTTAGCAGTCGTTAGATGTGGTTCTGTGCGTAGACGTGTTTATATAGTTTCTTCATTTTATAAATCGCAATATTTGATAAGAAGAGCAAAAATTGTGTGAGGTAGATAGACTAAGGGTTTTATAACAAAGTTTTACTGTATACGAACGAGGTTGCATTGCATTAAACATTTTCCTGTATTTTTACACACCATGGAATGACTCTTTTAAAGGACTGAATTGAGAGTGCTTATTCGTTCATTATATTTCAGGTTTTAAAAAGTACTGGTATGTTTTCTATGTAGTTTTTTTAATTTTGATTATTGGGATTATCATTCATATCGTGTAATTTATGGTACTGATCGTCCCTCATATTTACAGTAAATGAATCAAAGCAAACGTTATGATTCACATTAAATGCAAATAGTAAAAGAGTTATATGAGTCCTGACTTGCAGTTGAAGTTCTGATGGAGATTTTTTTATGATTCAATGCAGTCAGTAGGTTTTAGATCTAAAATCACGGTTCAGGAATAACTTTTCTTCTACTTCGTTGATTTCAACAAAGCATTGTTGTGGTTCATTATTATTCGGATTTTCAGCAGGCTTTGTCCATATGTGTGGAAGATTACGATGCACTTCAGTAATCTAATAAAATGTGGATTATAGATATATTGGACGAGTCAAGTTTGGGAAGTGTATATGACCATGTCAAGAGCTTATTGTCTGAATTGAAAAACTAGATCCTACTTGAATTAAGTAGAAATAAGCAAATAAGTGTAAGAAATACTACACTAGGTAAAAGCATTTATTTTACTCTTCAGTTCCTGCTTGCCAATTGATTCTGTGTTTCTAGCATTTTTAATGTTTTGTTTGGATCGTGTATTATATGAGCACCAGTAGAGTGGGAAGTATTGCTTGAACGAGCAAAAGATATATATTAGAAGCATTCAGATTTTTGACCTGGAACACTATGGTCTGCGAAAAAATTTCGAGCTGAATCTCCTTATTTGTCTCATCCAGTATAATCTATCAGACAGAATCCAAAAGTTGAGCTAAAACGTTCTTGTAAATGAACAATAACGAGTAGTAAGTCACCAGACTTGTTTGCTTCAAACTTGCCGCAATGGCACTTGCTAATGCGTGGCATCCCTGAACAATTCCTTGGACCGCACACGGTGTTGCGAAAACAATTTGAAGAGCAGTTGACTAATATTGCTGTAATCAGCAGCAGATTCCAGTATGAAATATTGTTTGCGAGTAAGACTCCGAAGATATTGAAAATTCGCACTACAAGGCCTAAAATAGCAGAAATTAAGAGTTGGATTTGATGTAAACCACAGAAACTTAATATTTGAGTAACTTCTTTTTCTGGAAGGAGATGCCTTTTGAGCTCTTCCTTCTGATAAACCCTGAATTTTTGTCTTCGCTAATATTTCACATTTAAAAAGCAAGTTTTCCTGGGAATAACAAAGATTTTATCATAAAACACTGTCAAAAACCAATACGTTATTGATATAAATAACATTAGAAGAAGCAGGCGATAGTACAGATATTCTTTACTTATTTGTTTTTGAATGTGTAAGAGTAATGGATTAACATAAATATGCATTAGGTAGCAAACACGGTGTAATCTAGTTGAAAACAGTGAGTACGACACATGATGCATACATCGAATTGTAGCAAAAAAAAGAAATGAAGTCAAGCAGACAGGATTTGAAATGAGTTTTCTCAGACTACCATATTACCTTAGCTGCATTCGTTACCAATTAAAATAAAGCCTGAATTACTTTTCAATTTTTCAAATATTGTTAAAACTTTGCTTTCAGCCTTCTCAATAAATTAATGTTTCTGCTTGTGATTTTAGTTGCAAAAAAATTTCGCTGCATAACAAGTCAAACAATTTTAAGATGCAGTACCGTAAAGACTTTTGCTACAGCGGTGAAAATTAGCAAAGTGATAAAGCAACCGAATGATAAGAATGATAATAAAGAAGAAAATTATCAAGACGTATCGTGTTGTAACGAGGTACCCCATTTAATGCATTTTGGTAGTCAAACTGCGCACTACCATAAGTTGAGCAGCAACGTAATACCGAATCCTGAATGGTTGCAAAGAAGTAATCGTTCGGATTACCAGAAGAAAAATGATTTGAATGGTTATTTTGTATGCAGTTGGAAGGTACTATCAGAGATAAGAATTATCGCAGTAGTTTCTATTTATAGGCATTTGAAATTTGGGCATTCTTAATTCACTTCAGATAAGAAAAATCAGAACTTCAATATATACGCTGCAATGCTTTACAGTTCGTTTATTTCAGTAGAACTTAATAATCGCAACTCAAAAGTTGAAAAGTGATCATTCAGCAATAATGCGTAATGATTCAGATAGTATCATGTTTGATTAAGCAAACTGAACTCTGAATTTTGAAGTGGCAATCAGTTTTCACGTTTAAAAAGCAACCAATTTACTGAATGTAGAAGTCCCATATGCCCATTATACTCCTTTACACTGAAAATTGATGTATGCAAGTTCTAAACTTACGCGTATCTCTACTACAAAATGGACAAGAAAATTTAGGATTCCGATTTCAGATGCGAATTTTTTGTACAAATTAATGCATGCAAAGGGTGAGAAAAGTAAGCTTTGAACTACTGCTATTGCTTTTCTGAATAAAAACTGCCAGTATTGCTTTATGTAATTGAATAGATCGGAAAATGCAAATTGTAGCTCTAACGTTTGATAAAAAACGATCTTATACTGTAAGGCAATAATCAAAATTTTGAAGTTCGGAAACAGAAGAAATTTCTTCAGTGATCTCTTCTTTATAGCAAATCTTTTGCAGAACATTCAGGATTCTGACTTCATTTTTCCGCATTGGTATTATTTCAGAAGCGAAAATGACATGATATATTTGTTTCTATTTTTTCTTTCAACCAACCTCAGTACAAAGTAATCTTTTTCGTTTGCTGAAGTAAAAAATTGTCGAGAACCAAAAAATAAACTTAAGAAGTGCAAATTTATTCTTCATAAAATTAAATCAGTAGCCTCAATATTAATAACGGATTGATATTTGCAATTCCAAGGGTTTATTTTTAAATCATTATTAGGTCTGTCTTATCTAGCAGTGAGTGAAATAGTTAATTGATGACTAATGGAAATGCTACTGAGAACAAGTACATGCGAATCAGAAGGCTTAGTTAAAAAAGGTGAGCTTGAATAAATACCTCTAAAAAGTTACCTTTTTATGTCTACTTTGAGAACTGCAGGAGTAGTTAGGTAAGTAAGGTAGTTATAACAGTGGTTGCGCATAGCAACGCTGTCAAATATGATATATCTGCAAAATGCTGAACACTTCGACAGAATGCTTCTTGGCTTTGTCGTGGACTGCTCTAAAGTTTTTCCTATTTAAAGTTACTTTTCAGGTCAATTTCTATTAGGTAAAAGTGAAAATTATTGTCGGGAACGATTATGGGTAAGCATTAATCATTACCTACCAGCAAATACTTATGTTCTGCGTGGATATCTCATTCAGAAAATAATTTACATAACTAATATAATTCGTGTAAATTTTTAATTTCATGGAAATTAATTTCTGGTAGCTAATATTTTAAAAGAAAACCTGCAAAACTTGCTGGTACTGAACATCCTCAAATTTTTCACTCTCCATGTTTCATTCACTTCACAGATTTGAGAGCAGGATTACTTGAATAGTATTTTGACAGTCCCAACAAATGATTATAGTTTTTATTCATAACCAAATACTTGTGATTACTATTAAAACGCCTATGTTTTCATGAATGTGTAATATTATCCTTCATTTTTAATTTTTCAGTACTTTATCGAAGCTAGTCAGTAAAATTATAAATTACTTGAAATGGTACATATAAAACTAAGGTATAAATCACTTATGCGAAGAAAAATTTAACAAATAATCTGTTTTTATCAAATCAAAAATTTGCATTTTTTATAAAATTTTGTCGTAATCAGTTGCTGGTGCAAGCTAATTTTGTAAATATTAATATTTTCAAATTAACTTTCACTAAAATAATAAATTTGTGCAGCAAAAATTTTATCAAATAACAATGTCATTATCTAATTAAGCTAATTTACCCGAAGAATGTGAAGAAACATATCCTTGTGAAGTCTGTGGCCGTAAATTTGTAAAAAGCAGTCTGGTAAGTGTATTTGCTACGAACTTTGTTATTTTCATAAATGATTTTTCATCAATGTTATAAAATTACTCATAACTTTTATTGCAATGACTTGAAAAATTCTATTCAGTATAAGTCAAAAAAGGTCACGTAGATATCTTCGGTTACTGCTAAGTATTCGAGATAAAATATAATGAATATCTCTGCGCACTTTTTGCATAATAGTACTAAATTGGGCACGAGGAGGAGATTAGATGGAAGCATCAAATTACATTTATTGTATTACAAACTTATGAAAACAATTTAACATTAGTAGAAATCACATAATATTATCCAAACCTTTCATTCGTATATATTAACACGCGCAGCTTTAACAATCACTTATTTTCATAAAATAAAGCGAAGATTTTGCAATAATTTCGAAGATTATTATTTTAGATTTTGTTTTAATATTAAGATTGTGCTTCAGCTGAAACACGAACCTGTTTGTCAAAGAATGACAAAAGTAAAGCGCAAAGTGTTTGATTCCGGGAGGCAGCGCGCAACAGGGTCTGATATCACTATTGAAAACGTCAGAAATGCACGTAAGGAACGTGAAAAGGTCATTTATTTTTATCATTTTCAATTTGAGAATGCAGACAAATGTTAAAAAGAAAGTTTCAGCACTTGCAGGAATCCGTAAAGTACGCTATTACCTTGCGTACGAGTGATTAATTTCATTTTTGAAGATGAAAAGATTTCATGCGAAAATTTAACTAGCACGAAAATTCTGAAACTAAGATTTTTATTGCTTTTTTTTATTTCTTTAAACTATTCTTATATAAAATCAATAACTCATCATAGCATCTCTTTAATGTTTGAATTTTAAATTCGCTTTGCTATCTTACATTTAATAAAAATTTGTAATGAATTGTATTTCAGCTTGGAGGTACCTTTCCTAGACCTCAAACAGGTTGGCGTGAAAGGCATGAAACGTTCGTTACTGCCGTGTCTTCATCAAAAACCGTAACGGAAACGCCATCACAGGAACCAGCGAAAACGTTATTACCAAAGGGTAATTCAATGCATTCATCACATGAATCAAATGCAAGAAATAACTACAATTTATATTTCAGAAACTGATTCCTTTTCAGTTTGTGAAATATGAATTGTAGATGTGATGCTCGCAAAAATATCAGTTGGATTTTTAATTTCAGGAAATGCATTTAAGCCTTGCCTTTGACAGATGTGCCAAGCTCATTCTTAGATAAAAGTTATATTATATAATTTTTAGCACATTAATTTTGTTGCGATATAGCAAAGAGATTAAATGCTTCAACAAATTAAACACTGGAAAATTGCTTTCTCTTTTTTATATTCAATATATTTATTTGATGAAGTAAGCATAATCCTAATTTCTTGAATCAAAAGTATCAAGAAAAAACATGAAAATATGCTCAAAATTATTCAGGCTATGTCAAATGCGAATACTGTGGGCGTAGTTTTAATGATGCAGCTTCACAGCGACATATACCGTTTTGTAAGACGCAACATGACAAGATGAAAGCATCAGCGAAGGTCATATCAACCGGTACAAAGTTCTCTGCGACCAGTAATATGGTAAAATGAAATAAATTTTGGTCTAATTAAAAATCAACGCGATTTGCTAGTCCCATCTATTCTTCACTCGTTCTTAGTTTCTGATAATTTTATCATAAAATGAACTTTGCAGCTTAATAATGTTTTTTTTAAAGAAGTTAATAATTTTGAAGAAAAAATTCAAATTTTACTTCTCATAATTTTTAGTGTAAATAAACATCAATTTATATGGAATATTTACTTGTCGGAACAAACTGAGGTTCACCAAAAAAAAGACAACTCAAAAATTTGGCTGCAGTTCATTTAGAGCCAAAAATCAGAATCAAAGAAAGAAAACCAAGTTACTATTCGGAATGCGCGACAGTTGAGTGTTGATATTCCGCGAAAGAATCGATCAAATTCCAAAAAACCCAAATGTCATCAAGAAATCCCAGTTCGTCGTTCAAGCGTTTTTTCAAGACGATCGGAACCCTCAGTACATCAGGATAGTCCAGAAGAGAATAATGGCCGGCAACAAGTTGACCCATCAAAAAAGTACATTATATTTTCGTCATTCCAGCAAACAAAAAATTTTGCAAACATGCATATATTTTGAAAATAATTTTTATGACCTTTACTGAGTCACATTAGAAAGAGTTAATGGTGATTTTTATTTGAATGTTTACAGAAGAAGCAGCTCAATCAAGCGTTCAGTCAGAAACGTCAGTCACGACCAAAGCAAATCTTCGTAAATTACCAATTCAAATTATTACTTCTTCAAATATTTCAGAATGAAATTAAATCTGCAAAAATTCCTCTATTTGCTGGTAATAACAACTGAAGGTGATAAAATAGTAATGTCAGTAACTAATAAGTATTGAATCGTTAATTTGCTGCTTTTAGGGCCTCTCCAGTATCGCTGACCCGAAAGTCGGTATCTGGCAGCAAGAAAAGAACAAGATCAGTAGTTCAGAAGAAACGAACTTGAATTCAATTTTCATATTGTTATGCTATTCGCTTCTGCATATTTCATTTCATTTTTAAGATGAGCTAATTTCAATCGCACATTTCCCATATATATTATCACATTTTAAATATATGTCATTATTTTACAATGCTAAATGCAAATGATATCCACACTTTAACACTGACCTCTGCAAAATGTCCAGTTACAACACAGCATTTTACTATATCGATTAATTCTATATATCATGACCCTCATGACCTCAAAACATACTTTGTTTGGGGAAAGCGCAGCAACTGATAAATTTCATTGAAGGACTCTATTAACACTCATTTCACGTCAGCCTATGCTTTTTATTGAATGTAATATTGATTAAAAGAGACTTTTTACGTGGATTTCGCTGTATAAAAAGAAAACCGACGCTAGATCGACAGTATTTGATGCTGCATTGATTCCTTCCCATAACCGGAGTTAAATTATAGATGACTCACGTGAATGGCTCGTTTTAATATGAACGAACTGTCACGTAATTGAAAGAATATATATGCTATATCTTTCCTTTAAATTTTGAAAACAGTGCAAAATATATCATTTTACATGAATCAAGCATTTGAGATTCACTGCATGTGATGGTGTTCTTCAGTAGCGATAATAACCTCACGTTAATATCGAACTACAAGAACAGTATCCATACATAGAACATCATTCACGTACAAAAACTGTACTTTAACTCAAGTCCATATGAACAGTGCAACGGTTCCGGAAGTTTTTAAGTAACGTCAGTGAGTACAGAAGTCAATTCTGATCTTCACGTTCCAAATGTTACGTACATAAAATGTGTAGCATTCGATCAAAAGATGTGCTGCGTTAATTTGTGTTTGTGTTTTCTTTTTCACAGTATTCAACGTAGTACTCAGAATACTTATCATAGAAAAAAGTCTTATCTTCGATTTTTAGAGAAAGGATTTTGCATTCTAGTGATTATGTGTATATATGACAGAAATATCAAACATTTATATGCAGGTTTTGTTCCTGTTTATTTGCTTTTTATGATATAATATTGGCAAGATTGAGTTCAGAAATGCAAACGGTTGAGAGCTGAGGTGAAGGACAAGATAACTACGTGAAAATACGTGAAACTTTGCGTAAAAATATAGTTGAGATATGCTTAAGCTTAAGCTGTCTAAGGTAATTGGTAGCACTTTACATTTCTGCCTTATTTGTTATGTTGAAATTGACGTCGGATAAAATTTATTAAACTTATCATTTTCCCTCTCTCTTTCTTCAGTTGAAAAAGTTTAATTTTTGCAGACTTTGATTTTTTGGCAAGTGTAAAATGGAGTGACGAAGTTTAAGCTCAAATGATTTTATCTCAGCAATAATTATTTCACTGAATGGACATTAAGAAGCATTGTGGTATTAACGCCAGAAGTACTAAAGTTGCTTCCAGAAACTCCATATTCTCCTGTATTCTCACTGTTTTTCTCTTCGTAATTGGTAGATTTTAACATGATCATTTACATACTTTATATGATTTGCTTATTATGGCATGTAGCATCAAACCAGGCGGGGTAATGTTTTCTTCTTTTTATACGCTTTTCAGTGCAATAAAGTTTTTAATACTATAAATTTCATACATTGCTGAGGTCCAGAAAGAAACTAACAAATGTTAACATTTTCTGCAGTTATTACTTGGCTCAGTTTATATTAGAGGTCAGCGAATAAATTGTATTTATCAAAAATCTGTACTCATAATACTTGTTTTATGAAGATCCTAGTATAAGTCAGCGTATAAAATTAAAAATAGCTATTTCTTAATGGCAACTCAGATCTTTCGATTGAAGTTAACAGAAACGAAAGCCGAAACGTTTTTAAAAGCTCTAGAAATGTTTAGGATGCTTATTTACTTCTTAAATTTGCAGTCTGTTTTTATCCAGTTACTTGTCACATTGCTTATTTCTTATAAAGGTCACTGTTTATTTTGCAGGTCACTTAGTCGACCGAATATTATACTTATACTGACTGACGATCAAGATATCGAATTAGGCTCTATGCAGGTTTTTATCATTTATATTTGCACGTATTTGGAATAAAAAATAAAGTGCAGCTGAAGTAATCTCTTTATTACTGTTATCTCAGGCTTCTTATATTATGGAAATTAGTTTTTTATACTGTAAAAAAATTAAAATTCGTGCTCATAGCTTCCGAAATAAGCTGTTATTACGAGAAAAAGGTCTTTACTTTGTTTTTCATGTAGATAGTATCAACTAAGAATGTTAGGATTCATTGGTAATGACACTTTTTCATTGGTAATGACACTTTTTTTTCAGTTCATGCCAAAAACTGTTCACCTACTGAAAGAACGTGGAGTAACTTTTAGCTCAGGATTTGTTTCAACTCCTATATGCTGCCCGAGTCGAAGTTCGATACTGACTGGAATGTATGCACACAATCATCATGTGCTTACCAATAATCACAATTGTTCAGGAATTGATTGGAGGTAATGAAATGTGATAAGTATTTTTTAAATTTGTACAAGTAACTGCATGCATTTCATCGCATAAATTATTATTTGACGGATTGTTTATTGTAGTCAAGAGTTAAGGTAGAGAAATTTTATTTGTTGAAAGAAAATTAAACCCGCTATTTCGAAAAGAAAATTTGCAATAATCTGAGCAGTCAAGTAAAAGGCAAAATTTTCATGCAGTTTTCAGGAGAAACTATGAAAAAAATACTTTTTCTGTGTATTTGAAAACTCACAGCGATTATACAACAGCTTATTTTGGCAAATATTTAAATGAATATACCGGAACATATGTACCACCAGGATGGGACCACTGGATGGGCTTACTTCGCAATAGTCGTTTCTATAATTACACAGTAAATGTTAATGGTAAAAAGATCAAACATGGATGGGACTACGAAAAGGTTTCTTCTTTAATTCATTTGTGAATTTTTATGTTGGTATGTTATATGTTAAACAACAAATAGATCTCTCTTAAGGCAGATATTATGGAATACACAATCTTAGTTAATATTTTTACCATCTGACTATTTATAATCATTGAAATTTTCGCAATTACAATCCAATTATAAATAGCGTTGAGAAAACAGTCATTTTTTTAAGGACTATTTCACCGATTTGATTGCCAATGATACAATAGCATATATTCGACAGTTACATAAACGAAATCATTTTAAGCCATATATGATCGTGATATCGTTTCCAGCACCGCATGGTCCTGAAGATCCAGCTCCACAATATTCTACTTGGTTTCAAGATGTAGAAACACATCGGTATGTGAATTCAACAGATGATGATAATCTGCAAGCCTGCATCGAAATTTTCGCAGTATTTATTTACTCTTTTAAATTGAAGCACAGAAGCATGGAACTATGCTCCAAATCCAGATAAGCAATGGCTTTTACAACATACAGGGCGTATGGAGCCGGTCCATGCTGTTTTTACTGATGTTTTGCACAGACGTCGATTACAAACTTTACAAAGCGTGGATAAAAGTATTCACAGGGTTAGTCTCAATGTTCATATATATTGTATTATGATTTACAAAATTTAATTTGTCTCCTAATTTGTGTCTTGCACTGCAAATATTGTAAATTCATAGTCAAAGAAGATCGTGTCTAAATTTTCTCATTTTCGCACATAAGTGCTCTTGAAGAAGTTCTTGTAGTGAATAAATCAAATCCTGTTGGGACCTTAGTAAGTTTCATAACAAATGAATAACCAGACAAACCAAACCAAAACCAAACAAACCATATACCTAATAGTTACCAGACATTTGATTGATGAAATACAAACATAGCTGGTTAATGAATTACGCGATTTGGGTGATTTATCAAATACCTTCATCTTCTACACTAGTGATCATGGGTATCATTTGGGACAGTTTGGTTTGGTGAAAGGTAAAAATATGCCCTATGAATTTGATATTCGTGTACCATACTTTATTCGTGGACCAGGACTTCCGAAGAATATATCGTAAGCCATTACAAAAAACATTTCGATTATGATGTGAGATATTGTTTGAAAGAATTATGGATGCATTTTGGCTGACAAAAATTTTTTTTAGTAGTTTTTTAGTAAATTTTTTTTAATTATTTGTTAAATAATCAGTTGTTCATTTATCAATTTATCGTATCTAAATAGTCAAATGTCATTTGCTACGATATGTTTACTCTGTGATTGAATCAAGAATCGTTAAATAGTAATGCATATTTTAGAGTGTTTCCAATATTAGTGTGGATTTTTTTATTCTACTTGTTCGCTTATTCCACTGAGCTGCTTTTCGAATTAGATAATGCTAATCTAACATGGTATTTAGAATTCGCGAGCCAGTATTGAATGTCGATATAGCCCCAACTATTTTGGAAATAGCTGGAGTGACAGTCCCACATCACATGGATGGACGTTCTTTACTTCAGCTAATGCGATATTATGGTAATTTTTATTCTGTTCAATGAGATTTTTAGTCATAAGTCATTTTGATTTTAGTAATCAGCTCACGGAGCGACAGAATTTTAGTGTGATACTTTAATAATTTTTAGTATTTTATTTTTATTCTATTTATGATTCATAATTTTTGCTTTTGCTCAGCTCTAAAACGAAGTCATAATCATATTTCAGAAAAATGAGCTCTGATTTTAAAAAACTATTTTTTTAAGACAGACATGAAAAAAAGACCAAAAAAGAAACGCAAAAATCTATGGATTTGAGATGGCGAAATACAGTACTGATTGAAAGAGGGTATTTTCTTCTAATTTTACTGCTGATATTCAATTCAGATGAAAAGCTTCAGATAAAGATTGTGTCAAAAGCATTAATTTCATTGTTGTGGACTATGCAATCCGTGGAGTCTCATTGGGATTAGAAAATCTTGAGAAAAGCGTATTTCTTGAAGTTTAATTGAGTTACGTAAGTCCAAGTATTTGCATTAAAAGTGTAGTTGATTATGGGATCTGTTTAAGCTTCAGTTTAATTAGGAAAATGGGAAAATTAACACGAATTCGTGATCGAATTATAAAGCAACGTGGTCGATTGAGTAATGACATTCGTGTTCAACAGGCTTGTTCGCGTTCTGAATTCACTGAGCCGTGCAAGAAAGGGCAGGTATTAATTTTAAGAAGAGGCTTAACAAACTATGGATGTCTTAAAATTATGTAAAATTATTTCTTACAAAGTGATATGATTTTTTATGATTGTTTGAGGATAATTAACACACTTTGTACCATACATATCATTTCGTTAAAACTCGTTCTTTTCCACTTGCTCGTATTTCAATCAGTTTTTAATTAAGTACATTTATGTTTATACGGATAATTATATAAGTGAGAAAAAGATTTGTTTGCGTCGTAAATCATTTTAATCGATTTTTTTTTTTGAAATGGAAGTGTGCTCGTGATCCATTGGGAAAGTGGAGAATTCTAAACTGTCAAGCAAATGTGGATGTCATTAAAGATTGTGAGTGCTCTGAAGAAAATTTCATGAAGCGACGCTATCGACGATCTAGAAAACAACATGGTGTCTTTATAAATAATTAAAAATTACGATGTAGTTTTTGTCTTGTCGTATTTGTTTGAGTTTTTGTAATTTGTATTTTTTTGTTTAGTCCCTATTTGCGAATATTCAAGATGTACGATCACTTACGCAAATGTTTACAGCCAAAGTAAGTGTTCGAAGAATAGCAACTATTGCTGAACTTGACAGTGAAGGGGAAAGCATTTATCTGGACGAAATTCCTCATAAATGGGAAAAAAAGTTCTTGCAGTTCGTTCACGAGGTGCTTTACTTTATCTCATTTTTTAAATTCATTCTTAATTTATATTCTTGTAGTGTTGATTGTCTTCCTCATTTTCGGCATTATTATTTCATGCTTCAAATTCAGAAGTTGAGACCAAGCGTATTCCTAACTTTTTTTCCTAAATATCTATTAATTGACAATGTCATGGAAATTTAGGTGTTTTTGGGAATTTTGGCCGAAGTGCTTATTTATTCATTTATTTAATGCAGAAAGAAATGAGGAAGAGTGGTCAGTGGTATCAAGGTATTTTTGATGATCAAGCTGATGGCAATTTACGGAACAAACGTTCGATATTAATGGAAGCAGAGCACATTGATTGTAAGCTGTTATGAACTGAATATATGTGCTTCATGAAATTCACATTTTCAGGAACTCTCATTGCAGTATTTTTTTTTTCAGCATTCTGTGTAAAGTACAATGTTTTTTGTAAACCGAAAATATTCCGAAATCCCAAATTATGGACGATCCATAAAATAAAAGTAGATGACCGAATCGAGAACTTAAAACGGAAGTTGCTACTTTACAAAGTAATCTCATAAATTCTTCGTTATTCATTATACTCTAAACAAGGAAAAAATCATTTCCAAGTAAACTTGGACTTGCATGAATTTGATTATTAATTATTTTTTAACGTGCGCTTATCTGTCTTTTCCCAGTTCTTTATGTGTTTTATGACATTGTTTCCACAATGAGAGTTCCTGAAAATGTGAATTTCATGAAGCACATATTTTTTAGGATATGCGAAGAACGTTAAAGCGCAGACGTCCATCATTAACAAACAACTTTCTTTCATCTACTGACTTAAGTAAATGTATTTGCAAAGGCACTCGTTCACGTTTAGTAAAGTAATTTTTCATACGATTAATTTGTGAATATTCACTTTCATTCGTCCTGATTTTGTTAATTTAACTAACATCTTATTCATTCGTCCTGATTTTGTTAATTTAACTAACATCTTATTCATTTTCATGAAGCAGTACTTCGCAGTTAAATATTTAAAGGAATGAAAATAGTCATGACGATCAATTTTGGTGGCAAAAAGATGGGAAAGCTAATCAGAGCACTTTGCATATCAAGATTAATTCGAAGTAAGTGACTTATCTGCTGAAATCTTTACACCTGATTGCACTTTTAAATTCTACACGATGATTTTTACATTTTAAGGAACAGCTTTTATCAGTAATTACATTGCAGACAAAAAGTACGATAAAATTTTTCTACGATTTTAAGAATTAGGGTTGCATTTCCGTTTGTTATACATCCATTTTTCATGTTTTTTATTCTCAAGAAGCTTTACCGATCTATAAATTAAATTATAGAAAACCAAATCATAATACGTTACATAGAAATTGCACAGTGCCACAGATGAATTGTTTCGTGCATGGTGCAGATCATTGGAGGACACCTCCGTACTGGCCAGAACTATATGGCAAATTTTGCTTTTGTCAAAATTCCAATAATAATACTTACTGGTGTCTGCGAACGGTTAACAGCACACATAATTTTCTGTACTGCGAGTTTATTACGGAATTCATAAGTTATTATGACTTGAATGCCGACCCTCATCAGGTTGGTGCTTTTAGTGCGAAATTATATTCAAATTCAATTTCTAACTTGAATATGACTTCATAAATCGATTGCATTATGTAACATATCCAAGACAATTAAACCATTTTTGTATTTTCTAGAGCATATGGAGCATTAGACTGAAACATTATTACTCATGTTTGACGTGCAACCCTTTTCATTAGTTTCAAGGATGGAAATTAATGTACAGTGATATTGATTTGTTGCACATTTTTCATTCCTGTCTTGATTCAACTACGTTCTATTCAGTCAATTAAAAGTGCGACTTAATAGGGTAGTCACTTCGGAATCGAGGAAAACATCTGAATCGCTTGTTTATGATAGCTAATAGGTCTAACTACTGGTAACTTTTATTAATGCTTCCTTTTTTCAATTGTGTTTCAGCTACACAACATCATATGGAGTATACCGGTGGGCGTACTGGAACAACTGAGTCGACAGTTGGAGCTCTTGCGAATTTGTCAAGGTTATGCGCAATGCGAACACTACTCTTCTTCACAATGGCATCTTCCCTTTGATAAAACTAGTTGAACCCAGCCAGCATATTTAGAAATTTCAGAATTCCTAGACAAATTACAACGTCACATTGTTAGTAATGCTACTTGTGGAGAGAACTAAGTGAATCTGATACGTAGGTTGACAGAGTTTAATAAAGCTGGTGGCTGCAAGTCAACATGTTTTCTATGCCTCATGACTACGCTGTGATCTTCTAGTTAAGTTGTTTTAAACAAACCCAAGAAATATTTGACTATTGTGAACATCTCACATTAGATATATTAGGTATATATGTAATAGTGAAGGCATTCCCAATAATCATCATTTCGAAAAAAGTTTTGTATTTGTGTTTATTGCCTTTCGTCTCTCAATATTCCGTCATGATCTTTTGTATTAAAGAAAATCGATTCAAGCGATCAAATGTAATATGTGGTTCCAAACTCAAAAGCTCTGCAATCTAGGAATTTACGCATTAACATTAGGGAACGAAGCATTTTGCTACATACTACTGGCGTCCGGCTTTCAGTGCGCTAGTTTATCAAACATGTTATTAATACATACGTTTCTACTAAAAGATTTTTAGCGTTGCTTAGGCAAGTTTTGAGATGTATCTGTTTCGAACCGAATGTCAAACTAACTTTTCTGCAAGCAACATATAGATGAATAAATGCATCAATCACACTAATCACCAATACAAGTACAATAACTTAAATAATGTGTAGAGTAAAAATTATACCTCGAAACATCAAATGTCCAAAGATAATAACGATTTCCTAGTACGACACATTTGATTGGTCTCTTTCGATATTGAATCTTTAAGGAATATGAGTAGTAGTTCTGCATTCAATAAAATTTATAAAATATTAAAAACAAGAACTGAGAACTTATTTCGGGACCAGGACGCACATCAGAGACAGTATAGGTCATTGTTTAGTGAAAATAAAATGAACAAATATTAAAGCGTAGTATCAAGATATTAAAGCATGGTTTCGAAATCCGGGATTTGTTTCCCAGGATGGCTACAGATTTATGAAAGTTCTATGGGTACTGTTCATAAATTTTCCGAGTAACTGAGTCTTTCCATCTTATACCCTTAGTGCTGAGCTACAGTACTACGGGGCCAAAAAATTGAAAATAAGGACATGACATTTACATATACGTCATGGCATGATGTAAAAGTCAAGTTCGATAAAGGAAAGAGAAATATGAATGAAGCACTATAAGAGAATAAAGCATGTACAATGCGTCTTATGAGTGATGGGTAGCATAAGTTTAAACCTAATAACGTAGGACAGCACAAAAACGAGAAGTGATGTCAAGTTTATAAAGGCAATTTGTAAATATAATGCTTAACACTGAACAAAGCTGACCAATCAAGTCAATTTGTAATGAGCATCAAGAGTTTTCGTTTCTTAAAAGCATCTTCAGCATATATCAGACACCATGGTTTGCAATTTTTTCCCATCATAGATAGTTTTGAACTGTTCTGGTACTGGGAACTCTATCTGAAAATGATGATACAATCTATAGCAATTAAATACCTTCTGGAAACACTACTCACGGACTCTATTTTTACCTCGGCCTTTATTACGGTAAAGATTTCACTTCCTACTTCCTACCTTTCAACAATGGCTCTTGAGACCAGCAAAGGTCTTTAGAATTTGCAAATACTAAATTGTACTTTGGATGAGGCTCTTAAAGTAAATTTCAAAATAAATTGAATTACATATTGAAGAAAAGGACAATGCTCATTACAGTATGGACAGTCATTAAGGGCACTTAATAATAACAAACATAAATTTAAGTCTTCCTAAATATCAGATGTACACTTATCTAATTCGCTTCTATAATAGTTCTCAACCACAATTGATAATTCTAGTATCACGTGTACTCAGGTGTATTATTGCAATATTACCTGTATTCAAAGCTAGGAATACAACACAACTTACAAAATCCCCATCTTCAGCAGCTGGTATTAGTACGTTCATTTCCGAGGATTTACTGGTAATTATTTCAGCATTTATTGCCTCTTTACTGAGATATACTTGACAGCCATCTGTTTTTTGTATAGAGAGTGTTGGCATAGATCCAAGAGCCTGCAATACAAGAAAAATTACAATTTCTTCATCCTATAGAACAAGTATTTTAAAATTCCTCAGCTATTCAGCAAGTGCGAAATCATGAATCCATGAAATCTGCACTGATCTGCATATATCAAAAATTTACACTGAACATTGGAGAAGTGCAGTATGAGCACTTCTGTCAAGATTAATACCAGCTGAGATTAATCGATTTAGCCTTCATTTCACAGTGAAAACCAAAAAGATATCAGTCGAGATAACTATGATAACGAGATTGGAAAAACAAACCTGTAATTGTACACTTTGACAATTAATTACTTCAATTTGTGATAACAGACTTTCAAACACAATCGAAGTTTTCTTACAACTATCCAAAGTTATTGAATTCAACTTCCCTTTGACCTGCAAATAAATTTTTTATTGCGAAATACAGATTTTGCTTTTTCCATAAAAACTTTTTTTCAAACAAACTGCATGAACAAAAATCTTGCCAATCCCGAAACTGCTTATTACGGTAATGTCTTCTTGAATAATTATCTATAGTGATTGAATAGAGCTTAAATTGCAAGAAAAAGTTGACCTGGATTACGCTGTTCACACATTTGAATACATATAGTGTCTGTTTCATATGATCAGTTCTCACCATCACATTTTTATCATCCTTGTAATATTCCTTAAATGGAAATTTATTTTAACTATGTTCCAAGATGCGCTATGAACTTTATTACCATGATGCTTTGTTTAAGCTTATAAGCTTATCAATGAATTTATTGCGCAGAAATGCGTTGGAAAATGCATTATTTACCACATTCCATTGTTTTCCATTCTCTAACCACGTTCGAGGTGATTTCTCATTTTCTATTTTTGCTGATATTGACGTATCACTCATTACTGTGGAGAGTGCTTTTACTTTTTGTACATCCTTATCAACTGCTTCATACTGCAAGAAAGAAATGAAGTCGTTAAAAAAATCATGAAATGGAGAAGTTTAATTAATGATATTAAATTATTCAAGTACTATGATACTGTATATGAGTAATGAAATCAAATATTAATTCAGAACTTGGGAAAAATCCTTAATCTAATATTTATGATCTTAAAAATGACTGGTACAAAAATTTAACTTTTCATGACTTTGCAGAATGTATTCAAAAGAATAATAATGCAAGCTATAAAATGCAATAGCACTAAAGATTAAATCTATCATTTTAAAAGCAAATAAGAACTTGTGATCGAAGAGCAGGATTTTTATGCGTTTGCATATCCGGTGTTACTTTTTTTAAGCGTTTCGTAATATTTTCTCCTGCATTGATTTCTGCAAACAGTGCAGTCCGATCAGCTGTGCTTTTATCAGATGCTATACTTATTGATGACTCTGAGGACCGAAAATCTGAAGTGAAAAAATAACTATTCGCAATAGTTGGATAATACTGAAATAAAAATAAAATCTGTATCAAATTTTGCATTTTACAGAAAATACTGGACTTTTTATCAATTTTGATACTTCACCTTGCTGATTCAAATAAAAAGAAATGACTACTGATAAGTAATGCGGTACAAATAATTTTCTGCATACAAACATGAGTATGAAATATATGAGCAATTTAAATAAGCCTGATTACAAGTATCTAATTTACAAAAAATTTTCGATAATGTGAGCTTTGATTAAATCCAAAGCATTTAGTAACTACGGAAGTAATAATTATATGATTCCAAGAGATATAGTTGATATATCAGAAGCAAACATATTATCATAAGTTACCTGGTGGAGGAGGTGGTGGAGGAGGTGGTGGCGGTGGTGGTGGGCCTTGCAATATAGATTTCTCTCCTTGCTTTAAAGTGGATGGCCTTGCACCCTATAAGTCATTTGCATTTTTAAGGCCAAAAATATAGTAGTTAAATTAATTGAATGATTACACAATTATTTTTACTTACCAATCCCAGACTTTTTTTATACAATAACTTTCAACTTATACTGTATCTCACGATTGAACTGCAGAAGTTAATTTTAAGAACTTTTAACTGGTTAACTTCTTCGCGCTCCAAAAATTCATTTCTATTTCCATGACACATGCTACAAAATAAAAAATCAAGCACTATTACAAAACCCCTACCCAAATTTTCACACCCAAAATATTGAAAATAGCTTCATGAAGGAATAATGTAAGCTGCATTATCTGACATATTAGACGAAAACTTTACGAATAACCTAATTATGTAATTGGTGAATGAAAAGGAGGAAAGTTAATTCAACCAACGAAAAGTCAAATAATACAAAAGAAATTTTGAATTTTTTTAGATATGAGAAAATCATTTTTACCGGGCAACTATTCCACACCAAGCCCGTAGTATGTACTTGTCTTACGTATTTTTGTAGTGCATTTAAAACTGCAGACCATGATTTCGCCCATTCTGTATGTACCTATAACATATTTGAAAATTATTATAAAGATCGGATGTGTATTTTTCAGGATAAGGAACAACTTCTGCAACATTTATTGCAGTAATAACATGATTTTAAGCTAAAGTAATAATTTCTTAATCTAATAAAACGTTATAAATAACAACAGTACCTTATCATCCTTGTGCTCTTTCAAGACACGGTTAACGAAAAACATTGCTGCTTCAGTCATATCTTTAATGTACGGTGCAGGAGTCGATTTCTATAAAGTGTCGCTCCTGATTTAATTTAAAGAACCACACTTGTTTTTATTTAGCGGAGTTTTTCAAATACAATTAAAAATAATGCATGTAAGTGCATAACAACATGACAAATTCAAGCTGCAAGCATAGTTATAATAAAACAATCTCGAAAGTCTCGAAGAGCATACCACAGTAAGCCAACCAAGTGCCTGAATTCCTTCGCTTGCTGCTGAAATATGATTGAAAAGTGGTGTATTTCTCTTCGATTCTTTGAATGTTGATAGATCTTCTATTGATTTCGCCAATGGTGTAAGCTTCGCTTGTAACTCTTCAGCTGACGGCTCTTTCTGGCCAGCAGCTAGCCAAAGCAAATTTCGATGTTCAGTGAAGATTCTCAATACCTTTTCACCCTAAACTTTATACATTAACTTTACACATGATGCAAAGTATCTTATTTTTAGCAAATTCTTACTTCCGAAGTTACATAAAATAAAAAATCTGACATTATACTAACTACTACCAATACTTTGTCTGCTCAAAACCATACCGCAATCAAAAAAATACTACCACCATTCAGACCACAGTTTGATAAGTAATATGTGCTAAATCACTGTTCTGATTACTATAAATTTAATATCAAATATATTTAGATATAGCACGTTAAATTACAAAATAAATGATAAGGAGGTGAAAATAATTGAAATAACTTACGACTGCTTGTAAATCACTGCCGAGATCACTACTCAGCCTCAGAAATCTTTGTAAAGGCTCATCAACTGCATCATCATATTGTACAACAGACAGGGGAGCTTCAATCAACGCTAAAACTTTTTAGAGAATGTCACTGAAGAACTAAGAAAAACATAATCTTTATTTCATTTATTATCCGAAATTTCCTAAACCCGACAGCTTAATTTTATCTTCAATTTCCTCGTAAAAGTGGCATCTTTTTTTAGCAAAATGTTTGCCATTAGCTCAAATCATGATACAATACTTATGGATAAACTGAAATTGAGATATCAAACAATCATTAAATTAAAAACAAAAGCAAGTGGGACTGAAAATATACATTGCATATTTTGCTTGACAAATTTACACAGCATTTTAAGAAAACTTAATTTTCTTGATAAGACATAAATAAAAGTAGAGTTAATTTAATAGGAATACTTCTTTTCCATTCCAAGTGAAGTGAGATTTTCTTAAAATATCTTACAACATGATTTAACTCTACAAAAATAAGTTAATATAAATAAGTATCAGTGCGCATTATCGAAAGGACTTGAGTTTCGCTGTGTAAAGACGTGTCCGCAAAAATTGTTAACAATCAAATTTTTAAGCAATGAATGAGTAATGAGGGTATCAATTATGAACGGATAAACTTTTATTGACAGCTATTTAAAAAAGTTAGAGAGTAATAAGTAAAGTATGAACAAGTATAGAGTTAACCTTCGTTTCGTGTGACGACAGCAGAAGAAGCAGCATTTGGATCACACTGAAAAGCTACCTTCTTATGAGCTCTCACACCAGACTCACTGCCTGATCTGTGATGATTGCCACTTTTTAATAAAATACCTGGCAAAATCCCATCCATACTTTCAGCAGTTTTCTTCTTCACACTATTACCATTTCTAGCAAAAGGTATGCTATGGCAGTCAGGTCTTGCAAGTGCCTTCACAGAATCGAAATGTTTCTCAGAATTAGCACCTTTTTGCAAAGTCGAATGAGCTGTCTCCTGCTCTACAAAGTTAGTTAAAGGTTTACCCACCACAAAAAGTACAGGCCCACTACTACTACTGCTATATTTCTGATTGCCATCAGTCCCAATTTTGTTGCCTGCTTGTATGGTGCTCCCTTCAGTGCTATTTACAACAGAATCTACCGTTAACATCCCCTTACTTCCAGATTGTACTGTCATACTTTCAACTTTTTGTATTTCTTCCATTTTGCTAGTATTTCTTTTGCTATGTACTGGCACATCAGAAACAGCAGCCAACGGAGCACTAGTGATAAGCAACTTGCTACGATCATTATCATTGTTTACTCGGAAAATACTACGTACGTGTTCAACATTGAATGCCTTCTTCTCAGGAGTTACTTTTTCCTCTTCAGAATCAAGAACTTTCCGAAATTCTTGAATACTTTTCTCGAAGAAATCCTCCATGTGTTTCATTGAAGGAGACTGTTTGGATGAACCTCTTAAGACAATTGGCGAAAGCGTTTTTGCTTGCTCTGTTGTAGGAGTGTTATCCAATACATTTGCCTTTTCACGGAACTTCGGGTCCTGCTCTAATTCAGCTCGAACTCCTTTAGCTACATTGAACATTGCAATGTTTGCCTGAGCATTACTCTCATCGATTTGTAGCAAATTCGGATCAGATATACGTCTCCGCAACGGCCTTTCGCTTGCTGGTACGAAGTGCTGCAATGTTGTATAATTTTTCGCCTTTTCTACTTGCTGATAAAATACTGGTTCGCGGTGTAGTTGCTGCTCACTGGAGGTTATACGAGTCGCGTTTCTACCATGCTTTTCAAACAACGCTTCATGCATTTCACTTGGCTGAGTACTACTACGTCCTTTAAGGTTCACTTTTGATAACACGTCTAAGGAAGCCTCTTTCGGTAAATGTTCACTAAAGGGTATTGCCGAATTAGAACGGAATCTATCGTTTTGATTACTGCTGACGTTACGATCTGTATAAACATTATAGACAAACTCTTGAGAATCTGTTTGATGTCCCCAAGCTGGAGGCTGTTGACTGGGGACATGGAGGCGATTGAAAACACTAGTTTTCAAGATCGGTACAATTACTTCTTGTCTTTTATTACTCTCGTCCCCTTCATAAGTTTTTTCTCGAATCGGTAAGTTTTGCTTTGATGTTACAGCTTTATGAACTTGATAAATGCGACGACTGGACACCAATCCTGGTACCTCTGTAGAGTCCGCACTACCTGAATGATCTTCCAGCACTTGCTTCTTAGTTACCTGAACTTCACCTCCTCTTCTATTTGGAATTCTTGACTTCTCAGATCTGTTTAGACCGACTGCACTCTGATTTAACCGTGAACGAATTGAGGGACCAAAATGATTAGATTCATACATGCGTGCATAATTTGTAGCAAATCCACTGCTACGTCCATTTTGCACACTATCGGTATGCAAATTACTCATACTAGTAGATGTACAAACGCTTTTATTTACTGAACGATACGATGTAGAATGCTGTCCAAAAGGTCGAGGACTTTGGAAAAACATTGCCTCTTCGCTTGTGTCGTTTTTATAATCACTTTAGTTCTTTCCAAATTTGCCCTAACAAGAAAGTTTATAATCCAAAACTATAGTAAATTAAATAACAAGAATTACAGTTTAGAATATGATTCCATGTGAAATAGAATTAATCACTATTCGATTCAGCAAATCGTTCGACTAGAGCTTCTATACGTTATTTCAATACTACATTAGAAAGTTCAGATAATTATTTCAGATCCCAAACACAATCTGCAAAATTCTGTTTGGACCGCCTGTTTATGGTGCAAATACTTTTCAACCATTAAATTATCAAACTTTCATCTGTAATACAGAATATCACTGCTGTAATTAATTCCAAATTTTAAATTTTAAAAATAAAAAGAACAGCTAAAAATAAATTTATAGCATTTAGTAATAACAAACTATATACTGTAACTTATAATTACAGCACTTCGTGTACACTCTTATCTATTCTATCTACATTTTTATTAATACGCAAATAACATACATTAACTGTTCTTGGATATATAAACTTTAAGCGATAAATACTAGAATATACTGTGTTAGAAATGCTCACACAAAAAAAAGGATATTTTCAACAGAGATCCATCTTACCAAGCAACTGTTCTTCAACGTTCTGCAGTTTTCTAGAAGTGAACAAATTGTCTCTTTCGCTCTTCTCTATTCTCTTCTAACTAATTATAACTTCAAAGAAATTGCATAAAGAGAAAGACTAAAACAAGTGTTCATTTAGATTCGAAAGTTGTGCATATGAAAATGCATTATATACTTTGGTAGAATTAAATTATAGCAATTTAAAATCACAACTCAAACAATCTACCAATGTTGGAAAAAAAGTTGAAAAATCTCCCACCACACACATATCGATACAGAATCCATCCCATAATACTGTCAGCAACTGTCAAATGTATAAAATAAGAACGCCGTCATATCAGAACGTGATAGCAATGATAAGAAGTCGAGAGAAAATTGTATGAAATTGAAATACTTAAAAAAGTTCACTACAAGAGCGATAGTTGTTGATCGGAACCCCAATACATTCATTCTATCCAGCAACATTAAAAAAAGAAAAACAAGTAGTGAGGAAAAGATCAAGGTTATTGGATTCTAAGACTGCATTTAAGTTTGCTATCTCTTCTTTAAATTTTAACTTAGCAACCTCACAGAAAAATAAAGCTTATAGCAAAAAACAAATCATAATTAGTGTCACATCTGTTTTGCTGTTACTATCAAGGCGTACTTGAAAGAAAACTTTACAGCTGAATTCTGATATAAAGATTTTTTCAACTTAAAATGCACTTTTTGCGTTTATTATATAAATATGTATAATTTCGCTTCATAAAATTTAGACTTTTTTAATTTAAAAAAAATGTAATTCAGATCAACAATAGTATTATATGCATAAATGACCAAAATATCGACAGTAAGGTAACTACTGCTCAAGAAAGTTAAATTAAACTCTTTATTTTACGAGTACCATCCAGTTAAATTATACCATTAGCAAGGGTAATTATCAAAAACATTTCCAATTCACTACTGTTTCGAATACTTATATCAAACCATGGGATCAATACCAAGAAAATGTGAGTCAAAATTATAAAATTATTTACTCCCTGCATTTCCTCCCTCTTTCTTGTGAAGATTCCATAAACAGATAACGTATATATGAGCCAAACAACTTTGATACACTCATCTCCTTAACAGTTAACAGTGAATTGAATGATATATTACAAGGTTACAAATGGATAATGATCAAATAGTAATAAGTAAACGCTTACAAGCAGATGCCGGTGGCGGAATAGAGTTCTGAGCAGGTTTTGGTGCTAAAGTTGGTTTCTGCGAACTTAACGCTTCCAGACGTAACGTCGCTGACTCAAGTCGTTGCACCAACTTTTCTAAAGTTAAACCTGACACTGCACCACTTATCATCGTTTGCTGCTAAAGAATATGAATATATAATGATTAATTTACTGCTTCTCAAAGTATAACATAACATGCAATGGAAGAGGAAAGATTTTAAGACCTCTGAGCAAACAACAGAAGCGGAGAAAAAACAACAGAAAATGTAGAAAATATTGTCGTCAGCTAACGAAATGACGAAAAATGATGGAAACAATGAAAGATTACAACTTGAGATGACGAGAAACCTTCTCAGCCCTCTCAGATATTAATTCAAAAAAACATCTTTAAAGTTATCTAAATTAAACAACAAACAAATATCCAAATATTTTCAAAAATTAATAACTTTATGCTAAAGCCGCGCCAAACAGTTGCAAAATAGAATAAGAACATACTAAAATAATATATCATTACAAGATGTGTAAAAATTTTTCAAAAACTACTAGATATTACGCGGCTGATGACTCATCTCCCATTGAAAAAATGTGTCTGAATGAAATATATTTCGAATATAAAAGCATTGCTTGCAATGATTGGGAGTGGTGCTTTAAGGTCTTACTAATGTGAATAAGTGAATCATGCAAGGGATTGAGCATCATGCAAGGGATTGAATGAATAAGCCAAATCTATGCAAGAAAATTCAATATTGTTTATAATTAGAGTAATTGGACTATTTAAGTAAATATCAAATAAGGCCATAGCATAATAGTGTTAGATGAGTAGAGAGAAAGTTCAAACTTCTTGCTGTCACTCAGATCATTCATTAATGTAATCAAATTTGTTAAATATGCAAATTTTTGATTGGAATTGAAAATTCTGGTTTGAATTTGAATTTGATTCAAATACAAACACTAACAAAGATTGAAAAAATTAAGCAAATACGGACGAGCACAAAGCAAATAACTGAGAACAAATATTCAAAGCTTCCTAAAAATGAATATTTAACAGCAAATCTCATTATCATCTCTAAATGTAGCGATTCTAATTCCGTCTGATTCCCTCGTTTATCTGTTCACCTGCTCTTATCCATCCACTCATTGATGTATGTCCAGTTTTAAACACTACTCTTCTTCTATTGTTGGTTAATTGGTCAGAGAATATATTTAACAAAAATCTTCAAAAATATAATCAATACTAAGTATATTAGCGAACTGAAATTAGAATCAAATTGACAACGAAGTTATTAAAATTGAAATATTTGATTTTCCGCAATTTCATTAACTCTCAACACGTACCTGACTACTTTAATCACAAACTATAAACTTCAATTAGTTGTTTACTAAGTTGAGAATTACAACGAATGGATGCAATAGTAGAGAGTGTGTTAATTTGTTGAATTAAAATGTAAAACAAAATTCTATTCAAAATTTTTTCTCCAAACTCATATGAAACATAGTAATCGATGTAAGATTTTAGCCCACCATATTGAATTACTTATACCTAGTATTAAATTATTAAGTTATTTTACCCATTAGCTATTATTTAATTACTTGTGCTGTTCATAAGTTAAGCATAATTTCAGCGGTTCATTACCGCATTAATCCTATAAATTGACTTTGAGATTTAATACTTGAAAAAAGTGAACTGTTGAGAAAATTATGTGAGACAAATGTAGTGAGTCAAAAAAACTTACAAAAATGTTTCTGTACAAATTTCTAGCAAAATCAGAAAGAAATATTTCAAGTTCGTTTGAGAAGCAATATTTCTGAATGAATAATTATGAGCAGCCATAAGGAAGGGTTAACAGCAAGAGAAACAAACCTGTTTCTGCCCGTAATAGTCTGATCAGCGCATAATCACACCCTAATCTTTTAATGTGACTTATTAACTAAAAGGATCAGTGACTTTTAATAACCTCTGAAATCCCACTTTTTCCAGAAGATTGAAGTGACCTTTGAAAGTGTAAAAATTTAAGATTTCTTATTCAACAAATGTCTAAATCTCAAAACTTTGTAAGGAGCCAAGTCACTAGTCAATAGATGGCAAAACTTAATTGTAGAATTTCGATCTCGAAGACTTGGAAGCATTTGCTAGTTACAAAGTGATGCAAAGCGGCGTTTAAAGACATGTGTTAATTTACAATGCAAAGACAAAGGAAAGGAATATTCGTCAGTGTGCGGGATGAGTGACCCTTTCAACGGTGGAAGTCTGAGGATTTGCGAGTTGAGAGTCAAATTTCATACCCAGAATAAGTTTCGGGTTGATTTACGGCAGAAATGTAATGAGCATTTAAACTAGTTGTCTGTCAGAGATCAATTAGTAATATTCTAAAAATTTCTTCGCGAATTCTGGACTTTGTAAAGTTTGTGTTGGCAATGATAAAAAGCTGTTATGACGTGATAAAAATTTCATTCTTATTAATCACATTTTAGACGTCTTTTTGTTTATTTTCCATAGAAGCATCTCACTTATCATAATAAATTCAAAATGGTATGAATTCGCCATTCTTTTGCGTCGTAGATTTAAAATAACACCTTATGTTAGCAAAACTTTCAGTACGACAAGAATAACCATAATATAGTTATAGATATCATTATCATTATCATTATCATTAGTTTTACTCATTTGTTCGACCTTAAATAAGAAGTTATCAGTTATAATAGAAAGTTGGAGACCAGAAATCACTGCAGCAAGTGCTTATCATAATTTTATTAATTCATAAAAACAAAAAGTATGGATTTTCATCATGCAACTTTTCACTATTATTTAACGTATTTCTGATTCTGAAAGTGAAAAAACTAACAATTGGTGCAGTTGATGTGATCACAGGATCATAAAATGGTTCAGGTACATCGAGAAGATCATAGGATTGGCTCATTAAGGTACTCAGATCAAGTTCCCAGTTCAAGGGTTGTCGAGTTGAGGGTGTCGGAGTAGAAATGTTATTACAGAAGGCATTTCCGGCGCAAATACTTTCGTGAAATTCAGGTGCATCTACTGAAGTTCCACATACTTTTTTTTTCATATTTTTATGTGAATGTATTGCATAATCCTCTTGAAGTGTGTATTTCTGATTGCAACATTTGCGAAAAAAATTCCAAATAAATGACATTTTTTGCTCGATGCTCATCAATTGTTACAGCAAATTACATATCGTAGACCATATCAATAAGTAATGCAGCCAACTGATACGGGTTAGAGGTCAAAATCTGCTTTCATCAATGTAGAAAAGTAGATTGTTCAGTCTGCAGTCTAAGATCCTTTTTCAGCTCGACTGTCATGAGGCTTAGATTGCGGCACCTTTCAGGCTGTTTATTCAAGAATTGAATGATTTGAACTTGACCAATCAACTGGAATAAAATCTCAATTCTAGTTAATTATTGCCAAAGCTGTCAGTTAAAGATGTAAGTATGTAGAGAGCGAAAACAACGTTATTGCAATAATTTACTTTTTTATTATCAGTAATAGTTTCTACGTTTACCACGTGATAACTCTTCATTTATTGACAGTGAAGTGAAGTGAAGTGAAGTGAAGTGTTGTATGACTTTTATTAGAGTACTGATGCAGGCAGCGATATCATAAGTTTTGAGATGCTTGCGGATATCAAATGACATTTCAAGCCTTCTTCTTCGTTGCTTTACTTGAATGACAAATAGAGTAAAGTAAAAGGCAAATCTGAGTGGAAAAAGTCTTAATTGAATATTAAGGCAAGAAAAAGATGAGCGAATGCTGAAATGCAATACATCAACACAATTGTTGCCTTCAGTGCAAGAAAAAGCAATCTGAAAGTAATAAGAAACTCAAATACACAAACATTCATCTCGACATGATAAGGCATTACTTACTCTTCTGAAATCTTCAAATCAATCAAAAGTTTGCTAGTTTGTTACTAATCTCTTGAGCTACCTTCTACCTACTTAATGAGCTACCTTCTTAATGAGCTACATTTTTAGTGAACTACCTACCTGATTGATATCGCTTCTTGACAATTTATCAGTCCACAAAATATTGCGCTTTTTCAGCTCCTTAATTTTTTCCTTCCTAATACTATTCCCTTTCTTCTTATATTCTGTTATCAAATTACTCAAACACACATTTTACAATCCATTTGGCACTTTCTGGAGTAGCACTTGTATGCTTTATACTTTCCTTACTGTAAGTTTGTTATTTGAAGGGTAGATTTAAGAAGTGATTACAGTAATTATTATGAATATTACAATGAAACTATTCAAGCATAAAATAATCTAAAAAGAGTTTGCATAAATTTTAATTTATAGCTTGCGGTAATTAAGTTTAAGTGTCATTTGCAAATAAGTAATTGAAAAAAGTAAAAGCTAATTGTGAGAAAACTAATGATCACATGTGAATTTCAATGTTTTTTTACTTATTTGAAACCAACTGCCAAAATATTTATAACTATAATTTTTATCTGAATATTTCAGCTCAAAGTTAATAAAGCAATTAACTGAAAATTGAATATAATAATGATTTTGGCGAAAAAAACTATTTTGTCGTATAGAATGCAAATTATGATTAGCAAAAGTCAATTTCAGGCCAGAAAATGAGTTTATTTTTTAAAACTTTAAAAGTTTTCGAACTGTGTGGCAGTTTCTAAGTTTTCTTGACTGAATGAGAGAGGCGTTTGTTTAACTTTGCAGCGATTATCATTTGCTTTTCAACTATACTTTGAACAAAATGCTCTAGAGCATTTCTCAGTTTTTCTTTGTGCAATAAAAAGTTCATTTTAATTTATTTTATTTTATATACTTAAATGAAACAACAGGCTTTTCCCTTTCAACTTGTTACAAACATTTCAAAAACTCTCATAAAGTAGAGTGGAACTGTACGAAAGATTGACACAAATTTAATTATTGTTTGAGTTTGAATTCATATTGTAATTGTTACTGTAATTGTAATTAAGAATGTTTTTCATAGGGCGAATAAATGAGGTGAAATAATATAATTTATTTATGGTTTTTGAAAAGAATTTTGCAGATTTGTACGCCAAATTTATAATATTAATTAGTACATCAAAGGTAATATCTTTGAAACTAATTAGTGTATCTATGAGCTTGTTTCAGAGTATTTATTATTACAGCATAACTTGAAATTAATCACTAAAAGTTAAACACATAAGAGGTGAATAATGGAATCAGAAATTGTCATACCACACATTGTATTCTTCTTAGTTGCAGTGAAAAGCTTAAGTTGCAGTGAGAAACTAAATTTTAAAGGCATCAAAGTTGATAGCGAAGTATGCTTGCAAGTGGATATGATTTCAGTTCCGTCCTTCCCTCCAACTTGTTGATAATTTTTATACAAGGAAAGTTTTCAAGGAAATGCTTGATTGTGGCTGCAGAACAATTTGAGAAGTTATTGGAGACAAAAATTAACAGCTAAGCTCAATTTTGTTCTAGGGAACAGCAGTAATGGTAGATATTAAAGAGGCTAACCTTCAGAAAAAATTATTGTAATTAAATTCTTTATTTGATGCATTATTGTGAATGAGAATACAGAATTTAGGTCTAATAGCTTATTTTTGTTATTTTTGATTACGGTACATACTGTATAATAGAACCTAATGATAAAATTTGAATTTTTCTGAATAATGGCAATTAAAATTATTTATTCATTTATTTGTTGTCCTGCTATAGAGGCAATTGCAATTTGTAGACTGAAGAGTTAATATATTATTTTTGGTTACAGTAAATCTCCCGCCAAACTGTGAAAGAATGAAAAAGTTTTTGAAATTGAAGCAAAAATTTGCAATAATAATACTAACAATCATATGCAGTGAATTGAAAAAAATTATGAGAACTGATCGAATGGATAATTAATAAAATTTTTGGATTATTAATAAATTTCGTGCATCGCGAAAAATCGTGATCACAATGAAGGCAAAATATCATATATACGCAGCAATCACATTTCAGTATTTGAGTATATATTCAATTCCAAAAACCAAACATGAAAAATAATAACAAATTATAGACATTAAACAATAAATAATTAATTACTTATACTGTCATTATTATTGCAAAATGAATAATAATAAATAATAATTACATGCAAGAAAAAGAATAACGCAAAAAAGCTGAACAAAGGTGCAAGAATTTTTGAATATTTACACAAAATATTGGCAGAAAAACTTTTTTGCTGAAATTTCCGCAAGAATCGCTTGAAAATTCAAATAATCATCGATTTCAGTGCAAACTGTCATTTAAAAACAAATTTTTTAAGAAATGAAATCTATCAATTATGCATTCGTAACATCCACACTGATGTGTGTCTAAGAATGAAACATTTACACATTTTTCAAATACTGAAATGCAAACTATTCTAGCGAATATTTAATGCTTAAGCTAGTTATGCATCAAGCATGTTTGCCAGTCGCATATATCAAAATAAAATGCTATTAGAAATCAAATCAGATTCAAAAATAAATTACTGAAATGAAAACTGAACTATTTACTGAACAGATAAATATCTTCATATTTGATATATGAAGATAATAGCATAAAAAGTGATTCAGACATTGCCAACAATGCAACTTTTTTACATGAAAATATTGTTT